CCGTAACTAACGTCACTGGAATCGTCCCGCTTCGGCTCGCCGAACATAAAGGACTCCGCCTCGTCGCTGAGTAGCGACAATTCCGACTTCCTCACACGCTTGAATCTAACAACCACTGGCTTCTCGCTGGACGGTGTCTCTTCCTTCTTCTCTTCGTCATCACCGTCCTTGGACGTCGCATGCTGCGAATTGCTACCTGGTATCGCGCTTGATCGCAACTTGTTCCCCAGTACTTCGACCTTGTAATAAGCGCGATTGTCTTCGATCAGACGCTCCTCCACCGATAACCGGTGCCGACCTCTGATGTTCCTGCCGCCTCTTCGACCGGCTCGTGGATGATGCTTGGACTTCACGTACCGAGTGTTTTCCCCCTGCAACGGCTTCACCACCGTGTGGTCAAGCTTGCGGCTGTTCTTGCTATGCCCGTTGCAGACGATATCGGTCGTGTCGAGGAGTGCGGTATCGTCCGCAAACTTTCTCGCATCCATCGTTTGCAGTGCACAATTGTCCCTGTGAAAAGACTCGTCATTGCACAACATGGATATATTCACGATAAAATTATTTTCCACCACGTCATTCTCGTTGATCGTACACTCGAAAGGACCAGAGTTCTCGTCACCGTTACGTTTGTCGTGGTCCTTGCTTTTGAGATAGTCCGCATCTTCCGATATACGACGCGAGTTTATAATACAGTTTTGTGTATGCACCACTGTTTGTTGCAGATTCGGCGGCTCAGTGTTGTGCTTACTATTGACATTATCTTCCTTATTATTAGTGTGATATACCTCGTCGAGGTCCTTCGAAAACGGTTTGATCTTGTAGTCCTCCTGCTTGGGCTCCTTTATAATATCCTCCGCATACTTGTCCTCCGGATCCTCCTCTTCGATCCAGATAGTGCCCTTAGAACGTTTCTTGATAGTATAGCCTTCTAACTTGTCGTAGAACTTCTCGCTCTTTTCGACCTCGTGCCATGGGCTACCCTTGGACCTCAGGAGGTGACCGCTCTCGTGTTTCGCGCGAGCACGTAGATTGTGCGGCGAGCTCAACTTTAAATTAAGGTTTCTGCGCGCACCATTACACTGCACCATTTTTATCTCATCGACACTAAAATTGCTTAAAGTCTTGGTGTTTTTGGTTACCTTCTCTTCGGGCAGTACTACATTGTGAAGATTGTTATCTTCATTGGGGAACAAATTACAGTCTTTCCTGCAAGAAATTAAGGGATCGTATCAGCACGGTCGCGCATCGAAATGAGAAATGTTTTTATATTTTCGAGAAACTTAACGGATAAATCTCAATAGATCTCAGATAAGTTCAAGTAAAAGCAAAGTTTTCTTTGCCCGCATATATACTCACTCTATATCCTTCGTTCCATTCAGTTTTAGGAACGCTTCCACATTAGCGCCTGCATTGATTAGCCTATCCAAGGACAAAAAATTGTCGTCGTTCCGCGCAAAGTTTACATGCTGCTCGGTTTGCACATGCTTCGTCAGATCGTCATAACGAGTACTACAAATCTCACAGTAACCAGAGACCAACTGTTCCGTTCTACGAGCACGTGCGGCAGTGGCGCGGGGTCTCCGAGTCATTTCTTTACTCTGCTAATATGAAGAAGAAATTAATTATGACAGTCCGTTTAACGCGACAGAAGACTCGATTAACGTCCACTGCACGTGTAGTAGTAATAGTAACAGCAGCTGCGACGCACCTCCTCCTTGTTTATGTATTCAATATTTTTCTTATTCTCTTTAACTTCTCTGCCAATTAATCTGCCGGCCTGCTTCACCTGCTTCTTCGTGTCGAAGGGACACGAGCCTGGATCACCGTCGAAGTTTAACGTCGGCCACGCTGATAATTCCAGGAACACGGGTCTGGTATTCCTGAAAGCAGACACGCACGACGTGTGTACTCGAACGTTTGGAGTATAATATATTACAGTACAATTGTAATACAATAGCTTACCTGCGAAAGGATTCAAATTTGATGTACGATCCTTTCAGATTCTTAACTTTCAAATCTTTCTCTGGCTTATACTGATTGATTTGCTTCAGATGCTTCAAATTATATTTTTCATGAAAAGACACGTAGATTTTTTCCAGCCAGGTCAGAAGTTTATCCGTCGACCAGATAGGAATACCCCAACTTTGGGCGTTGTCTAGTAGATCCACGGAACACTGTTGTGGCTGTGTCAGAGCACGTTCCAACATTGCATCCACCCGCGATTTCTGTCCGAGATTGAAATATAAAACAGACAAAATTATTACCCGATCACCACAAGTGATTTGTACATTTCATTATTTACCGTGACAATGTATTCGTTCATCTACTTACAGATCTCTGGGTAGTTTGACCCCGTAGATTAGCAGAGTTGGACGAGGGGCATTCAGAGCTGAAGAGCGGCGTTGGGGGTGTAGGAGTAGGCGTTGTGACTTCTACACTTCTGAGCGAGCGTGGTCCCCCGCTGCCGCAAACCCATTTATGCCTCTCAGAATTCGTGTAGCCCGCTTTGTCCACTCTATCGCTGACCACAACACTCACACTGCGCACTAGAAAGACCTCAACCGTCTGGAAATAGAGTGCAGCATATTGAATAGAAAGGAAAATGAGAGAGAAAAAAGGAATGAGACGAGACGAATAGATGCGAGATGTTATTAGCAAATGGGGGTAAGCAGTCAAACGAACATTTTGTAAACAACTACACATAGGGGGCAAGTAGCCAACTAACATTCAGCGCACATTCTCTCAGGTGACAATCGCGCACAACGTTTGAAAAACTCTACTCCATTCTTCTCAGGCCGTTGCTTCTCGATCAAAGACAAAGAATCTAATCTCTCCGTAAGCGAGATCAGTCGCTCGCCGTCGGGCGAATATGCGCTGCGAGACTCGAGTTACAGCCTCGGGCGCTTTTCGAACGCGAGCGAGCCAGCCAGCCAGCAAGTGATCGACAGAGACAGTCCGACTTTCGAGGAAGTTTATCGTTTGCGCAACGAGCAAAAGCAATACCGCGTCGCGCGCGCGGTATAACATATACAAACAGGAGACCGCGAGAGCGCGCGGAGCACGATCGTCTCTGCTTACTTGGCAGCGCAGCCGTCGCGCGTCGGACGCACACGCTTACATCGCGTTAACGCTGACGTCAAGTGATTTCGTGGCCTTCCTCGAGTGACAGCGGCGGCGGCGGTGGCGACGGCGACAGAAGCCGACCGTTACACAGAGGAACGCGATACGACGGTAGCGCGCGCGCGTTCTTCATGTGGTCGACGCCGCTTGCCGCCCGGTCGCATAGCAGCGTTGTTCTAATAATAAAACGCGCGCGTCAGCCTCCAGACACTGGGACGACGCGGAGGAACACATGGGGTCGTAGTCTGCGTCGCGTTGTCCACGTCGTCTCCACATCCGACGTGTAATTGAGCGAGGAATCTCGAACGGCGCTTATGGGAGCGAGGGACGTCGCCGCTGTCAAGCGATAATCTCGCAGCGCGCGTTCCAACAGTTTCCAAGAAAATCCAACAGCGGCAGTGCCGGCGGCGGCGGCGGCGGCGGTGGCGGCAGTGGAGGAGGCGACGGTGCTGGATAGCGCGATCGTTCGTCGATGGTCGAGGAAACGCGACGAGGACGCAAGGATGCGGATCTACGTGGAGCACGAACGACAGCGTCGAGAGTAACTTGAAAATGATGCCGATGACGGGCAACGACGCTCGAATGGACGAACACGGTCGAAGGAGAAGCAGCACACCGACACCTCTCGTCACTGCTGCTATCGCTGCTGCTGCTGCTGCTGCTACTACTACTACTACGGCTGCTTGCAGCGGACAACTGTCACGCACAAAATGGCCATTCGCCGTTAGCAGCTTGGCACGAGGGCCTGGAGGCGGCGCTCGGCCGCCGCCGCCGCCGTCGCCGCCGCCGCGCGCGTTACTCTCCGCTCCTCTCTCGTTGTCGACGGCGAGGACGAAGCGTCGCGCGCGTTGCATTTCCGTCCGGCTGTATCGCACTGTCGGCGGAAGACACCGTCGTCCTCCATAACACGCCGCGCGTTCGGCCTGTCATTTTTCAAAATCGCACGATGGATAAGCGCGCTGCGCGCAACTTTGCACGCGGTTACTTAGGTGGCGCGCCACGCACGCCGGTTTCTCGCGATTTGTTTGTCAACAGGCGGTTATCTGCAGCCCGACAGCCGGCTCCGATGATTTTGACAGCTGACTCTATTAATAGATCTGTTGCGAGGAGAGTCAGTGCTCGCGCGCTCTTCCGTCTCGCGTCTCGCGGAGGATCATCAAGCGTCGGTCGCGTGCGCATACCAATTCGTCGAGCCGCTGGAGAAATTGGAGATTGGAGCTCAAAGTGTTGCTCTTCTCATTACTGTCAAAAATGAAACATGTCGACGACTGGTTAAGATACCTGGTATTTAACCCTGTCACATGTTGCATCGCAGCCGCGGAAGCTTCTCTATTCTTCGCAAGACGGTTCTTTCGACACAAACTTTCTCTTTGAAACTGTGAAAAAATTCATATCTTCCTCATAAAAATGTGATGCATACTACTACATTGTGGAATCTATGACTAGCATGTACCATCGAGAGAAGAGAGACAAGACAGCGCGCTATTCGTTCCGCGCGCAAGAGTAAATGTGCGCGACTCGGTGTGTCTGAAGCGAGCAGAAATTTCAAACCGTTGCTCGATCACTCCGTTTTCTTCTTCATCAAAGTCAAAAACTTCGCACGTCGCTCCGAAGATGGCGCGAGCCGCTGCGAACTTCATCGTGGCGACTGTTTGTCAACAGAAAAATCGCTCGGCCGTCAGCGTGCGCGACGGTGATTGCACGTACCGTACGTACATGAAAGTACGGACGTACGTAACACGAGCGAACAACGTAGCCGCGGTACTACTCGACGTCGTCGCTGCCTGCCCGTCTGCCTGTGTGCTCGCCGGCGTGTTTGCTTGACTGCGAACGAGCCGATGTGCCGCGAGAGAGGTTGAATTTAGGGCGTAGCCCGTGCGCACAGCTCAGCAACGACGTAACAACGCGCGGCGGCCTCGCGCGAAACACGGCGACTCCGCGACGCACGCATGTAAATCCCACTTCCTCCGGAGTCCGTAATGCTTCGTCAGTCACGTAGAATCGGCCTCGCTAATTTCGGTTCTCTCTGTACTTCTTTAGCGTAACACACTGCCTGGATTGCGAACGGGACAAATATATCGTTGAGTCAGTGGAGGGAAGATAAAGAGAGTCGGAAGAAAATGTGGAATAGAAGAATAAAAAAGATACTTATCCGCTGTGACTTTGAAACCGAGGCTTCTGCAATTCGAGATGCCGGTGGGAAACAAAGATGAAAGTATACTGATTCTGGTAGAGCTATAAATCCAAGGACGTCTCGCTTAAAGACGATACATGTTGAAGCGCGCGAAGCCTTCTTTAATTCTGTCTCCGAGAAAAGCTAGAGGATCGGCCAAGTTTTGGTTAATTTTAATCGACATTTACGAGAATCAGCCGCAAAACGAAGTGTAGACACAACGAGCCGTATATCCTTTTTCATTGGTCAAATTTATTCGTTACCTATTTTCGTGACCCACTTACAAAGAGAGAGAGAGAGAGAGAGAGAGAGAGAGAGAGAGAGAGAGAGAGAGAGAGAGTAAAAGTAAAAATAAAACTAGATTAGTCTCTGTTGGTAACACGTTTCCGTCTGTATCTCAATATTCTTTCGCGAAATAGAATGTCATGTTATTAATGTTTGTTATTCCATTGTTATATATAATTCTATACCGATACAGGTACAAAACAAGAGAAACAGCCTCTTTATCACTTGACAAACTCACGTTGCTCCGAAAACGCTCACGCTTGTCTTTCTCGACGATCAAGAAAGCTTGAAAAGTTTTTACAAAGAGCGTATAATTCCCGCGATTTTTAATCGAACTGGAAAGTATCGAGAGAACGGATCGCTCCCGGGAAATTATTTCGGACGCGGGGTGGAAAATCGCGCGAGGCTGGCGGGCGGAAGTTCGGCCGCTGGCGAGTGACCCGGTAAGATCCGTGCGCGTTTTCGGGAACGAGTTTGCCGTTCCGGCAGTTCGATAATCACGCGCGTACTCAGTATCGCGCGCGGCAACGGGGTCGGCTTGAATGGCCGCGGAACGCATCACGAGAGACGAGATTCGAATTTTTTCGCTGCGCTACCCCTCAGCGGGGGAGCGCGGCAAACGGCTGTAGGCATAGTGATCGAAAATGGCGGGAAGAGAGGATGAGAAGCACACACACACACATACACACAGAGAGAGAGAGAGAGAGAGAGAGAGAGAGAGAGAGAGAGAGAGAGAGAGAGAAAGAAAGAGAAAGGGAGAGGGAGGGAGGCAAGCACGAGGGGAGAGAGAAAGGATGGGGAAAGACAGGGAACAGAGAGAGAGAGAGAGAGAGAGAGAAATGGAGGGAGAGACAGAGATAGACAGAGAAAGTGAGAGAAGGGGACACACACTCACCCAAAATACACCAAAACGCTCTGACAAATCGATAAGCGCGAAACGAAGCGGGAAACGCGTACACAGTCTACTACACAGAATCCCGAGAAGATATGAAATGCAACTCACTCCGCCCAACTCCTTGATCTTCACCTCTAACTTGGTCGCAATCGCATGGTTCTTTATGTCCAAATAGAACGACTTCTTTTCCAAAGGTTTTTGGCCCTTTTTTATACGCACATCTACAAAAGAAGTTTTAACCTCGTTTCACTGTTTGCTCCGCTCACTGTGCGACTCGCACGATGTAATACCTCTTCGTATCGTTGCATCGAGAGTACACGAATTGAAATTTACGGGACATTGAGAGAACATTTCTTTCTTTTTTTTTTTCTTTCTATGTATTCTTCAAGGACGCGATAAAGAGAGTGTCGGCTTACTGTTAGTTGCTGTCTCGCACACTGGTCTACCAATCACTGTACAAATCACATGATACAGACAGATTGGTGCAGCATCTAACCAAGCGACAGTAACAAGTAACATTGAATCGTTTACTCACGTCCAAGGAACATAGAAGATATACGAGAGAGATGTACGAGATAAATTATCATTATTGCTCCGACCGTGCAGCGAGGATGACCATCGGTGATCATTCAGAGTACTCATCGCCAGCTGCAAACGTTTCATCAACAATATGTAACCACCATACCATTCAAACGGAACACCCCGATCTGTCACACAATTTGTGAACTTCAATAATAACACATACACACACACATACATACACATACACACGCGTGCGTGCGTGCGCGCACACACACGCACACACAGAGACACACAAAGGTATAGGATAAATCTCTCCGGTAAAGGAACTACACGTACTCTCAGTGATCACCGACTGGTCGTTCCTCCTCACCTCCCGCCAAACAGCACACGTTCCATGTGTGGGCCGGGAGGATTTACTTCACGTACACACGACGACGTGTTGTTAACAGCCGCGCGGACAGACATCTCTCTAGCAATGTCCATTAACGGGCCGGTCCGACCCGGCTCGGTCCGACGCGTTATTATGCAACGCACGAATTACGCGCGCAACTCAGCAACTGACTTACGTGATGCTCGTTGATCGAACTTGTACTCTCTCGACGGCTTTCTATCTCTCAGTGGCTGTTGCTGCTGCTGCTGCTGCTGCTGCTGCTGCTGCTGCTGGGACTGCTGCTTGGACGGCGATAGCATTCCTAGGCGATGATGATGCACTGCACGTATCGCAGCGACGTTATCTCGCACTTCTCACTGGCGTCCCTCGTCGTCGTCGTCGTCGGAACACTTCCCATCCTCATCGACACACCGAGTAACGTCGCAGAGGCGCGGTCGCATACTCTCTCTTTTTCGTCCGCCGTATATCCCCGCCGTTTTCTTCCACTTTGAGTCTCACTACCCTGTGGCCGAGGAGGAAGCGACTGCGACTAGCACTCAGCGAGTCGTTCACCGTCACAACCAGATCGCATTTTACGCACCGATGTGCACCGCCAAAAGTCCGAACCGCTCGCACTCCTCGGCCTCGTATCGTAAACTGCAGTAAACTAAATACACGCGCTGAAGTCAGCGGCAAGAACGTGCGACAATGCGCTACCGAACACCCGGCCGCAGGCATACCAACTTCACGTCGCTCAATTCTAAACCAGCCAAAAAAAGTGGCGAAAAGACGAGAGAGAGAGAGAGAGAGAGAGAGAGAGAGAAAGAGAGAGAGTGAGAGAGAGAGAGAGAGAGAGAGAGAGAGAGAGAGAGAGAGAGAGAGAGAGAGAGAGCGAGCCACTGTAAGAAGAAATTGGTTACTGTTTGATTCCGAAAACCATCATGGATTCGCAAAATTATCCGTACTCGATCAGCTGAGAATGACGCTAGCGTTAGTTATTGCGGTTATTGCAATCGGTCCAAAATAGAAAGTAATCAATACAACAACAGTTGTGCGATATCTGTTGGCGGAGACGCCAACGAGCGATTCGTTTTCGTATTACCAAAATCATTAAATGACAATTTAACGAATGGTCAACTACAGTGCGAATTTGTTGCGAAAAAATTGATATATTTCTTCATATCTTTCACTTAAGTGCTCGCAACGTATGTTGAGTAGTTGGATCGGTCCCATGTATACAGGAAATGTAGTAGAATTAAGTAGTTAATTTAAGAAGTCAATCCACCAATAGCGATTCTTATATCAAATTCGGTCGTCTACATCATTTCTTACAAGTGCATATAATGATTGTTATATATGATGTTATTTGAGTGTAAAAACATAATGTAAACGTATATATAACGTAAGCACACTGATTAATAAAATATTCGACAAGTATATTCTGTCGAATAGTACAGCCACGTTTTAATGACAAGGTGATATTATATAAGCTTTGTACTCCAAGAGCTTAATATATACCAGTACACTAGCGAGTGCAGAAACAGATCTTCGTATGTCGCTGTGTTCAGATTGTTAGCTTGAAATTTAAAGGTTATGCTGTTTGTTGTGTCAGATGCAAGAATTTTGATTTTTTTTCAAAAATATATCTTTAAATCTAAAACGTGTAGAGTTTGCATCTAAGAGTTTATCTTTACGAAACATTCCGTAATTATTGAAGAAATTGAATTAGAAAACGATAATATATATTTTATTTGTTTAAACATATAAATGCAGATCATGTAATACTTATAAAAAGATTCCACGCATGTTTTTGTTCATAGTAGACAGTACTTTGCTGCAAACAATTGTATCACACTAAATCAAACCATTGTTATATAGTTATTCAAGTGTTGTATTCATAAAAATATATTATTCTCTTCAATTATTCAGCAGATACCAGCAGATATAAACATTAATATTTACAAATATATGACATCCATGATTAAATCATCTCTTATTTGCAATATTGATATGAGACTTTGCTGATATTGATATGAAATACGTGTATGTAATTACAGATTTTTTCTTGAAATATCACCAATGAAAATGTGAATGATCATCATAAAACTTGTTGTTACTTTATTCCGTATGATCAATCAACATATTAGACATATTTGGCTGCATGGTGTTAGGAGTAATTATAGCCTGATCCTTTAATGATGGATTAAAATTTGATACATTTTTTGCCTTCTTTCTTTGCCTATACTGATGAGCTAACTTTATGAGGTACAGAATTATTAATGGTATTGGTGTCATGATCGCATAAGACACAGGAATCACTGAAAAAAGAACATAATGATCAGACAATTACAGTGATATAAAATAGTCGAGTAAAATACAAATGCATTAGGATATGTTTACCAGTGGTCAGATCAGCAGCAGGTGGCTGTAAGGTGAATCGTAACAAAAATATGGCCACACCTGTGTTCTGAATACCAGTTTCGATGGCTATGGCTCGTATGTCAGCTTGATGTTGCTTGCAGAGTTTTGCTATTATGAAACCAAACAAAAAGCCTAACCAAGGCAGACCCATTCCTGCTATGATGATCTAAAATACAATAAGAAATATTATACACACATATATTACATTCTGTTATCTTTATAGTTTTATGAAGGAGATCAACTTACCCTCAGTGAAAACAGTTGAAAAAGATATAAGTTGGTTAAGATAGCGAATATAATGATGAACAGAATTAGAACCACAGAAAACGGTTTCATTATTCGTATTAATATCTTTGATATCCTTGGAAGTTTCTTTTGAATGAAAAATCCTACAGCCAGTGGAATCACAAGGCCAATCACAAATGTACCAATTTGGCGGTAGGGTACTGTGAGATTTCCCTGTGCAAAGATATATCTGCCCAATGTGAAAATCCAAAATGGCATCATTCCTACAGAGAATAATAATATTTTATGATACATACATGAGTCGTAAACATAATAATTTGTATCATGTTTATTTCTTACCAAATGCAGCAATGGTACATAATGTTGTCATTGTGACCGAGAGATTCAAATTGCCATCAAGTAATACTGTCCAAATGTTAGAAGCACCACCACTCGGGCTTATCCCTGTGAAGAACATTCCTATTTGCAGTTCAGGCTGACCAGGAAATAAAATATATCCAATGACAAAACTTAACTGAAAATTAAACGAAATCAGGCTCACAGGAAATATGACTGATAAAAATATTATGCAAAATGTTGGAGCATGACTGTTACCTATCATAATTTTGATAAAAAAAGACGCACCAATGGCATGATAACAAATTGGCAGACAAAACCTATAGCTGGACCTATTGGCTTCTTCAATGTATTGCGACATATATCCCAATCCATGGCACAGCCAAAGTTGATATATAGAATGGATACGAGCACTGCGACACTAATGGTAAATATAGTATCTATTGTACGTTCCTCTCGTATTACAGTAATAGTGGAAACATCCTTACTGTATTTTATGTTCTGAAAGGAAAATTCTTAATCATCTTTTAAGAATCAAGAGATATTACCAAGCTGTAAATATGAAACCGGAATTTGCCCATAGATGGCCTTAGCTGTCAATGTAATTACCGTCAAACCGCGTTATTGGTGCCATTTCCATTTGTTGACATCTGACAAAGATTTTCAACTCACAACAATACAAGTTTCACACAACAGCATAGTTTGTAATAGCGTTGAACATGTCGAATTTTGTACCTGGAAGCTACGATTTGCGGACAGCATTGATTTTCTGTTACCATTTGAAGAAAACTGCTGCAGAATCACATCGAATGCTTGTCGAAGTTTACGGTGAGCACGCTCTTGGTAAATCACAGTGCTTTGAGTGGTTTAAAAAATTCAAACGTGGCGATTTTTACGTGGTGAGAAACGAAGAACGTGAAAGACCACCGAAAAAGTTTGAAGACAGCGAATTGCAAGCATTGTTGGATGAGGATGACGCTCAAACGCAACAACAACTCGCGAATCAATTAAATGTGACACGAGAAGCCGTCTCCATACGTTTGAAAGCCATGGGAAAGATCCAGAAGATGGGAAAATGGGTCCCACATGAACTGAATGAAAGACAGCAGGAAAACCGAGAAACCACTTGCGAAATGCTGCTTGCCAGGTACAAAAGAAAGTCATTTCTCCATCGAATTGTGACTGGCGATGAAAAGTGGATATATTTTGAGAATCCTAAGCGTAAAAGATCATGGGTAACTCCAGGCGAACCATCGACATCGACTGCAAGGCCAAATCGCTATGGACGGAATGCTCTGTGTTTGGTGGGATCAGAAGGGTGTGATCTATTATGAGCTGCTAAAGCCTGGCGAAACCGTTAATACTGAACGCTACCGACAACAAATGATCGATTTGAATCAAGCTTTGCATGAAAAACGACCAGAATATCAAAAAAGGCAACACAAAGTGATTTTGCTTCATGCTAATGAACTCAATAACTGGTTTGTCTCAAAAGAGCAACAGTTTTTTTGGCGTGGCATCTACAAATTGTCAGACAGGTGAGAAAAATGTATAGCTAGCGATGGGCAATACTTCGAATAAAATATTTTTTATCATTTTCATACAATAAACGTGTATTTTTTATACAAAAATTCCGGTTTCATATTTACATACCTGGTAATCATTTCCTAGTTGCTTACCTCATTTTCTATCAGAGCAAACGTCAATTTTGTTGTACCAAGGAAGACACCGGTAACATTTAAAATGCCATTGAAAGAAGTTTCATTCTGCGCCAGTATATGTATACTTGTTTTTGCGACATTATTGTTTGAACTTGGCACTAATGTCAATCTTAATTCTGCAGGAACATTAGATGATATGATGAATGGAACTGATGCTATATTGTTCATATGCACAGTTATATCAGATGCAATGTCAATGGTCCATGCTGGTACAGCTGCTGCTCCTCGCAATAGTAAGAGTCCTATTATAGCAGCTACAATCGACATTCTCTGTAAATGCGTTAAAAATAAAGTTATCAGCATGAATGAACAGCTACTTTGCAGGGAATTTATCAATTCCTCACAAATTGTTGCACAACTCTTTGAACATGAACATATGATTGTATTACATATTACAAACTGATAAAATACGATAGAAAAGCATGTGTACCAGAATAATATGTATACACAACATGAAATGATACCAAAAGCATTCTGTTGTAAAAAAAGTACATTTCTTTACTGAAATTAAAAAAAATTTTCCTAAAGAAAAGAAAAAATGAGGGAGATTTCTTTTTCGTTATTTAATGACAAAAATCACTTTTACAATACTAACAATCAAAACGTTTGCACACACGTACCTTCGCGTACACCAGTTTTACACGCCTTGTCATATTTAGCGTCGCATAAGAGATATTTGACATATGTATAATTATACATTATACATATCACATTACATAATGATTAATCTTTGCCTTTTTAGTTTTTCACAGACAATATTAAAGGTTATTATTTATGCGATGACGAGACATTACGAATAATTGCATAATCGGCACTGAATTCCACTACCGTTCTTATGTGCTTAGTATAGTGGGAGGTGCCGGTAGGCAATTCCCCAAAACCTAACTTTCATGCTAAATATATGCGATCATTGCTTTATCTCTCGCAGTCGCAAAGATAAACACGATTGCGAAATTGCGTTGTTTTTGCGCAAGATATTCGCCGAACTGATAACAACTTCTGATGTTCCATTTGTTGCACCAATTATTTTATCGAGTTCTCCTGTGACGCTCTTCTTATTCAGTCAATCCACCGACAATGAACTTGAATCAATGCAGGGTAATCTTTATACGGAGTGTCGCGGAATTATTTGAATTCTTTGAATTGGATTCTCGGAGTCTGTGTTTCTCCAATATTGGATAATTGTAATTGGATGTAAAATTATGATTATAGAGATATTTAACGTTGAAAATTGTATGATTTTGTTGAAGCTTTCGAAATGAATAAATATTTTGCCTTGATTTTCAAATTAACCTTCATAGGTTTCTATTTCACACGATATTTAGTCGAAAATTCGATTATCGATATCCTGAATGGTGGAGATTAGAGGAAGTCTCTACGAATAATAAATTTCACTTAAATATTTAACGAAGAAACGTCGGCTTTTTTTGCTATTTAAGGACGACAAGTAGTCATGATCATAATGAATAGAATGAAATAAGTAATAACCCAAGCAGAAAATCATAACGTCAAAATAATAAGGAAAACTCAATTTCAATCGTGATCTATTCATAATTTCATTATGATCATTTTCTCATCATTTTGACATAATCATAATTCTCTGTTCTACCTGGAAATTTACAGTGTGGCAATAGACATCGTTGCTCCGAACGTACCGCTTATATTTCGTTTGCTTAACATGTAATTACGCATGTAATTTGCCTCGCATGCGAACATGCATATCCTTGCAATTTTTCTGTAAATTATGAAAATTGATTCGATCTCGATTTGTTCTTAAAATTTTTTCGGTCAGTCGAGAGTCCAAAGTATAAATTTGCTTCGTTATTATCTTGTTCTGTCGCACAAAATTCTTTACCAATCCATCAATCTTTTACATTTAAAACGGTAATTCGGCACCGCTTGAACTGATAAAAATTACGGCGATAAGCATTACACAGCATATTGGAAATACACTCCAAATGTTTGTAACCGATCGAGAATAGCGTATCTGAAGGCACTTACGTCACAACAATTCACAGCAATTCACAACATCCAACTGCATTCGCAGTCACGTCTCGTGTTAAACATGTGCGGTTTTCCCGTATTATGCAGCGAACTCCGTGCGTTCGTCTCGCGCGAATAAATGTATGTTCCGTGCTCTCCTCGAAGACTTCTCTTTTTCGCTATCTAGTTATTACGTTATGTACCCAAGAGTGGGGGATCATCAGCGATACTCCGTTACTAGAAAGTACCAATATTAATCATGCATCTGTTTCGATGTTCTATTTGTATGTTTCTCTCTTTTTTTCTATTTAATGCTATGTTTCTTGTAATTCATTTATCATAGTTGTATTATTATTATCATTATTAAATGAATATTGCGCAACAAGAATCTATCGTTAAAAGATGGTGATAAAGATAAATAAATAGGATAAGAAATAAGATTCAAGATATAAAGATATAAAATGGTCTATAAAATGCTTCATCAGATGTATAAAAGTAATTATTGCCGCATACCTGTTACTTAAATTGAGAGTAGAATGTTTTCTCATTAAAGCCGCTGACAGAAACATTTGATCGATCTTTACTTACATCATGTTCTATACTTTCCAGGTTCGAAATGTAACTAACGCACAATCCCTTCTCAAAGGAATTTTGAAAAGAAGGAAGAGAAAAATCGCGAGAGAATACAGCCGATATTGACAGGCATATGCGAATGTATCTTCCAGCGAAAGGCTGAGAGACACTGCTGTTAGTGAAGACGGGTTCGGTTAGGTACGGATTCGGTTAGGTACCTGACAACGCTCTTGTCAGTTTCGCTCGCATAGTGATGCACGGCTGGTAGTTTTAGCTCGTTGTAATGCCCATCGCGCAATGTCTCACTTCGTACAACTTAGCAGCTCATTATTTTGCGCATTCTTGCTCGCCGTTCCAGTCGCCCATGGTTTCTCCTACGAGGATTTGCCCGCGGTGGCGATGGACTACAAGGTGCACATTGACGCTGGAAAGGAGGACTGCTATTTCCAATATGTAAATCCGGGCGCAACTTTCTACGTCAGTTTTCAGGTACGAGCCACGACCGCGAAGAGTATCCATAATAGCAACCTAAGACACTACGGCGGTTATATCCAAATATAAAAAAGCCGCGACAAGGTCAAGGAAGTGACTATGGCGAACCATATGGCTACGCAGACTCGTGCTTCAGAATCATTTGCCTTAGAAATGCGGCGTTTCGCATGAGCGCGCGAGCGAGCTTGTTGACTATGGTGGCACGTTTGTTTTGACAGCTGGCATATGTCGCACAATATCGCACCCGCGTATTTTACAATGTGCCAAATCGGCTTCCTGTTGGAAAGCGATTGTTCTCTTGTATGACATGTTCGCTCACTTTTGGGACACGTGTGTTATATTCGAATTATATTGGAGAAAAGTAATAATCTCTCTTTTGGCTGTGTGTAATCGAATTATCATCGTCCGTGCGAAATGAACTGATATATATCACTAGGATCTTATCAAACTATCTGGAAACATGATATAACGGGGTAAATAGAAAGTGGCAAATATATTATACACATATGTTACAGATATAACGACAAATGTGGAAATGAGAAATGAAATATTAACATTGCGTTGATTCAAATACCTTGTTGGGATTGTAGGTATTACGTGGTGGAGATGGAAAAGCTGGCTTTGCTGTGAGGAATCCAGGTGGGGTCTTGGTTTATCCGTATCAGTGGCGATCGAATGCAGACTATCAAGATACATCGATTAATGGCGGCTACTATAGTGTGTGCATTGATAATCAGTTTTCAAGATTTGCTGCTAAACTAGTGAATCTGTACATCACAGTGATCAGGTACGATGATGAAAATCTAACAAGGACAGATGTTTGCATGATGTATTAGGGAGAGATATATAAGACATTATCAGTTATCTTATTTGTTATCTGTCATCATAGATACGATCAATGGCAGAAATACAGCAAGGAATTGGAGGAACTGAATCTTTCTGTTGAAAATTTTACGGTAATTGCATTATTAAAGAGCTTTTCAGCGGCTCACAATGCACACTCGATTCACATATTTTGTTTTCTCCTTCAGAACACAATTGTGAATGTGGAAAGAAACATTAATGAAATGCTCCAGACTCAACATTTGAGTAGGAGCAGAGAAGCGAGGGATTTAAATCTGCTGTTGGACAATAATTCTTATGTACAGACATGGTCGATCGCACAAGTACTCGTTATCACGGCGACAACTTTAATTCAAGCATTTTTCGTTAGAAAGTTATTCGATGTGAAACCTGGACATTCCAAGACGCGTATTTAACACCAGTATGGCAAATACCTTGCTCAATAAAAGCAAGATAATGGTTAGGTATCTATTGTGATGAAATGATCGCATGTTTACCGATTGAGCTCGGATATTACACACAAATTTAGATAAAGATATAAAATGTGAGCGCTTCAGTCGATTAATTACAATTCAATAAAATTGTAATGTTATACACGTGTATTGTAAATTTTATACGACGTAAATTATGTTTTCTGTCTTTCTATAAATTTGTGTGCAATACGATGCTTAGAGATTGCCTGAATATTGACTATAACATGGCGCAGAAATTTGTGATACAAAAAAAATTAATTAGATGTAACAACTTTCTTGAGAATAACGTAATTCTTCTGGGTAAAGCCTCTATCGAATGAAACTTGGACTTCCAACTCGCCAAAACATAACATAATGAAACTTTTACATTGACAAAATTTTGCATTTCTCATCAAATCTATACATATGCACAACTACATGCATACTACTCATACGTTAGTTTTAAACCAACATTATTTCTAATAATTTTTATAAAGTATTTTAGACCCGTATATTTTCTTTTATTACCTTTACGTTATATGTTAATATATTTACGAGCAGATCGTTCCGCTTGTACATCACAATACAAGACTGCCTTATACTTCGTATCTGTGAAACCACATCCATCGATCAATTGTCGCAATCATGATTTGTACTCATTCTCGCTTTTACTTTTGGATACTTCTGTATATGTGAACAAGCCAACAAGAAATATTTAAAAATGGACAAATGTGTAAGATAACATTTATATTTTATTTGTATAAAAATAATAAACAGACGCATACTTTTGTTACATCCTCTCCTTCCTTTCTTCGTGCACTTGTAAATAGGACAGGTGACAACATATTTTCTCTCGTGACAGCTTTCCATGGCTCTGTACGTTTCCCGTAAAAATTTTAGAAATCTGCTTCACACTTTGGCGACAAATAACATTACATTGGCACATAGTTTAATCGACTATGAAATACTGCAATATACAGCGCGAGAATCATCAAACCTATATAAATAAGTAATCAGTAACTTAACAACGATCACAATTGTCCGAGCGGTTTGCACTATCGTGTAATACTTCATCAACTTCATCAATGAATCACTTGATTTTGTTTTGCCATTCTTTGCTGTATTACACTGCTGCTGAGTGTTAAAAGACGGTGTCGCTGTTTTAGGTTCCGCGCACGTATGTGCTCCGACGCGATCTCTTTTGTATAGTTTGCCGGGAACCATCCTTGCACGCCTCCCACTAATTTTTCGCCATGATACCAACCGTCTGCCATTTTCCTCAATACGTTTATCACATCCCCTGTGAGAAAACATAAAATTTACTACAACTCACTTTTAAATTTCTTTTACGGAGGAGAAAAATTTTATTGGGAGAACGTTACGAAGAATGAGAAAAATTCTTAGGAAATTTATACAAAACTGAAATCTATCTTACCGTCTATCTTGTGATATTTACATGGGAATATGAATCGAGTAAACAATCATATATTACCAGGTTGTAACGATAGCTCGTCCGGTTGATTTGGCGTGTATAGGTACTTGGCCATCATTTGCGGACAGTCCCAAGATTCGTATAACGTTTCGCCAACTAATCCACGTTTCGGCGGCGAAACCGCTTCCAACCATCGTTCACGTTCCGTGTTATTTTCACATGTAAAAATGTACTCTACATGGCGACCGGAATGGTTCTCCAGGAGGGTCAAGATCATGGCGTTCCGTCCTGCAAATGGTGACTCTTCGGAAGCTGGTTCCAGAGCCAAGAGATTCCTCTTACATGCGTCTATGACAGTGTAAGACTCATCCTGAGTGCTGCAAAGCATTTCCGCTTATCGAATGAAAAAATCCAAACGAGAACGTTTAGAAAACTAGCAGAGTGCGATGTCGGCTTACTTGGATTTCAATCTCGTGACTAGAAGATAATCAGTAAATAGCAGAAGATAGAGCGGTGTCTTGTTGAATTTTTTCCCGAACGTGAGTTTGTATTCGGTGTCAGTTTTTGTCGACAATTGCACAACGGGTCCTTTTCTGACTAATTGTTTGCCTCGCAAAATTATAGGTTTAATCTTTGCTGAGTATTCTAGTTTCCTACAATACCATATACATATACAATTTATGCCTTTTACATTCATACAAATGGATGAATGTGTGTTTTAATTAGCAATAAGATACTATACCTCGCTAAGGCTTCCATTTCAGTTTCTTGAGCGGCTGTCCGAGCACCTTCGTTGCATTCGGCAACGACGTTGCTTAGACTCGATAAAACTTGTTCCCAAGACGCTCTATCCAAACTTCCCATCGATAATTTGGAAACGATCGCGTCGGCTAATAAGGGTAGTCTACGCAAAAAATTTATCGACATGTGAATGATTTATACCATTAATTTTCACCATCATATCATAATCATTATAAAATAAGATTTAATAGAGTAAATTAGATCGATTCAAACGATGACTTCGATAAAATAAAAGCTTTTTTTCTAGATATGATATTTCTTCGATTTTTGTGTTGTATCAGAGACACATGTACCTTGTAACACGTTGCATCGGCAGCATCAGGAAGGAATGTAACGAAAGATTTTGGCACGCCGGCCGCATCTCTATGCGCTTAACAGCCTCCAAGAACTTTGCACCTTTCCGAGCTCTGCGATCAAAACGATATAGGTGGTTATTTATATCGCTAACAAGGAGTACAAGTGACAATTACTCTACTGGAATAAAAAGTGAAACGTTTACTGATTTTACTTACTTGAGATCTTTCAGGGTGATGTCTATGCTGACTTGATTCGAGCAGTAAGCCACGTAAGTGGCCTGATACTTCTCAGCATGCTTGATCAAAACGTCCGACAAACCCGGTAACATTGGATCCTCTCTCCACACGGCTTCCAATTCGGCCAGGAACGTTTGCGACGCCGACAACACGCTCGTCACTCCGCCGAACAATTTCTTCATCTCAATCGGCGTAAGGATCTCGTGTATCAGCGCATGGTTATTGAGGAACTCGTTCTCTAGGACTCGCAGGGAATTTAAGTATGACGCTTCAGAGGTGAGGATTTCAAACTTCGCCTCTTGAATTTTCTTCTCCTCTGGTGTCAGCCTCTCTAATTATCGCAAGTAGCTTTTTTTTATTAGATTATCTATAGTTTCTTATTTCCGACATATTTCTTTATACAAACGTATATACGTTTATATTTTTCAAAAGCAAATATATTCAATACTTTCTACTCACCTAATAGACCGCTGTGTATCACTTGCGGGGTATGACACCAGAGCATTCTCTGTCCTAATCTGGCTAAATCTGCCGGAGCAGGACTTTTCTTCCACATTGTATTTTCTACCTGTGAGAGAAAAGTTACATGCACATGAAAAAGAGACCAATTAAATGCTGTACTTTAGCGAAACGTGTCACCTCGATGTGGATACTTATATTAAAGGTGTAATAAGCGAGAAGAAATTACCTCTTCGTAGCCTTCGGAATCCGATTCGAAAGCGACACGAGCCACCGCAGCCGCGTAAAACTGGTAGAGAGGTTCTTGATCGGCGAGCACACTGTAATGATCTGAAACAGCGGTGGGATGATATTTTCTCGACAAGGATTCTTTCACGCGCAACAAACACAAGAACGATCAAGCATCAGCGAGCGTGCACCGGGATCGTAAATTCCGGTGCGTACGTTAATTAATTATGAGGAAGTATCCTTAATCTCGTGAAAGTGCGAGCGAACTTTTTATGCGTCGCTGGATAAGTAGCATTCTTAGCTGCGTGTGCGAAAATACTAGCTCGATATTTGACCCATGAGAATCGCTAAATTAAGCCACTATGCCTCGTAATAAAATCGCCTTGCTTTCACAGAAACTTCTTAAAGACTTTCCTCGTTTGTTCTCGTTATAATGCGCGTGATTGTTTTATCTTTGATTCAAATACTATTTCCAAATTTGATACATATATGAAAATTATTTACCATCGTGATATCACACTGTTTGTTATTCATAACTTAATTGCAATTTAGACACCTCGGTACGAGCGTCGACTTTAATCGACAGTCGCCAAATATATAATTACAACATTTGTTACAACTATTGTAAACAACGAAATGCGGGTTTCTATTATGTAGTTTCGTACTTCAAAATTTATTTTTAACCAAGCTTTTTTTTAAATTTAATCTGTTTCTTCTTTGTGTTTATTTGGTTTATATTTATATATATATTTATTATAGTTTCTATAATTCGTAATTTTTTAATTGAACTTTAAAAATTATTTTCTTTTTCTATTAAAAGGAAATTATATACATTGATAATATTTTATTATAAAACATGTCCCTGGCCGTCAAATAACATTATATGGTGCCGTATTGAAAAAGTTAATTTAAAAAGTCACTAATTTAATTGATACTACTTTTCACCAAGTTGAAAATGAAATTAAACATACAACAAAAACTGTCGCAAACTCACCGATACCAGTGACGAGAGATCTTGAAGAGTCGTCGCTGCTGCTACCCATGTATTGGCTGTTTGTGTAAATCGCCTCCTTGGCGATTCCGTTGTTATTGTCAGCAGTGCCACAAACGTCACTTCTCCCATTTTCATCGACATAAAATGTGGACGGGCTGGCGAAACTTTTCCTAAAACGCCTGCGGAAGTTGAAGTATTTCCCGATATCGACATGATGATGATGATGATGCTCAGATTGTTCCTTTTCGTCGAAGCACTCCTCCACGGATGTTCTTCTCCTAATTCTGCCGAGGCTGCCCTTCGTAATGCTCCAAGTCCTGCGCAACATTTTTACCCTTCTACCAAGAGATTGAGTTAAACTGGCCTCTCGCGGTGGTGGTGGAGTCGGTCTCGTAGGACATTCCATATAAGTGTTGATCACACAATCGCCATCACTTGCATGCCGTCGTGGATGCTGACGCTTATCGGCAGCTTCGCTCGTTCCTTCCGAGTCGGAGCTAAAGTCATCCTGCTGGCAGGAGTACAGGCTCTCGTACGTGCTATCATCGGAAGCGCTGTCTATTCGACAGAAAGATCAATTAGATCAAGGATTAAAGTACCAAGCATATGGTATTACCATGCTAAAAAAGTTATCGAGTAATTATCGTATTCTAAGCGTAGAATTCTTTGTGATTTGAGGAAGGAGATTAAGGAGATTTACTTTAACAGAATGAAAGAATTCTACGATTCTGTAATTGAACTTTACTCGCGTTCGGTCGCTGTGAGCTTTCGTGAAATTATAAAAATTATATATAAATATACGCGACGAGTAGCATGATATCGCATCAAGTGTCTCAGTATTAGGCATCATTTTCCTTCCAATTTATATATTTCTCAACAAGCTGGTCGAGTCTTTGCGATTTAAAGCAGCAGGCGACGTGCGTCCACGGCAGACCTTCATGCACATAACAGGATGTTTCTTGAGTGTCCACGTCCTCGTCGAGATTTACGACGCGCAGCTGCACTAGGCCCTGGGTCCTGCACGGCGGATCCTCTTCGTCGCGGTTCATCGATCGCCATTCCTCGGCGATCCGATCGGGCTCGCCGATGAGAAGCACCGATCCGCCTCCCAGACTAACGGCCACTTGAAATCATCCGGTTTCAGGGTCAGTTGCATGTTGCCGTGTTCAGATGCCGAAGGCACGCGCACACGCCCACACACGTTGGACCGGCACGGAGGGCACACCGGGCGAGAGAGGCGAAAGACAACACACGGCAGAGGCAAATATGCGCGCGAGGTGGTGAGTCAAATATGGCGTGTACGAGGACGACGAAATCCGCTCGACTCGCGGGATTGTTCGCGTCATCCATTTCATTTCCATCGGAAACTTTCGTTTCTTCGTCGCGACTACCCGTTAACGGCCGATCGGCGATCGATGTTTTATGTAAGGATCATTATGCGCGAGACGACGTCATCGAACGCTCCAAGCCATGAGAAATCGTACGGGTGATTCCGGGATGAAGCCGAACCGGTCATAGAGCACTTACGACGATTCATTTGTGTATGAGAAATTGTGACGAACGCTGCTAACCAGTTTCCTCGGGAGGAAAGGGAGAGCACCTCGCGAGAACGCATCTTATCGTCTCCTTTCGTCTCACTGAAGAAAGTAGAAACTCTAATTACTCTTTCAGACTGACAGAATTCAAGCTGCTCTTTCAAGACCGAAGATGAATCGTCGTATGTTAATTTACGCCAATCACAACCGACGCAAAATAAGACGCGAGTCTCGGTAAATTGAGCTGTTATCATGCGATCATCATGGGTGTACCGGTGGAATCCAATAAAATCATCTGAATTGGCGAATGAAACACGAACAGATACGAGGATCTCGTCGGGACGCTCGGAGCGCGCTCGTCTTCGTTTGAGAGAAACCAGTCGGCCGCCAAAACCAGTTAACGATACGACGATGAATCCAATCGAGGGGTAATCACGAACCGAGCGAACGGAGCAACTAACGAAGAAGCTATCCGCGGCGCGGCGATGCGAGTTTAACGACAATTGACGGATCAAGGACATCCGTGGACTCCTTTGCGACTTCGACTGCCATTGTTCTCGCGCGTCTGTCTGAAATTTGACGTTCCGCGGTCGCGAAAGTGTGCGGGCAAGTGGCGTGACAACGACGACGACGACGACGACGACGACGACGACGACGACGACGACGACGACGACGACGACGACGACGACGACGACGACGACGACGACGACGACGACGACGACGACGACGACGAAGACAGGCCCTCTTCGTCTTACCTTGAGTATTGGGTCGTCGAGAAAACTTCTTCAGTGTCTCTCTCATCTCTACATTTCGTCGGCACGCAGCAACACCAGGCAAACGCGAAGCGTCCGCGAAGAGACCGCGCGTACCGCGACGTGACGTACTCTTGGAGAACAAGCAAAGAATGTGCTTTCTTTTTCTTCCCTTTTACTTCCTACTGCTATCTTCCTCTTCTTCTTCTCGCAATCTGGCTAGCGAGAACACGAGATCGCGAGAGGTACCACACGATACAGCTCACGGCTCGGCCGTGACTGACAATGAGAGCGCGCAATTGGCGCTTTCACCTCGAGCGCTCGTTTCTTAGGGGGCTCTCACACCATCTTTTTAAGGCACCTTTCATACAAGATGCAGGTGTGCCCGAGCACCTGGGCTGGGGTTTGGATAATTCAGACGACAGCAGAAGCTCTCAGCTATTTAAATCCGTTGTCGAGGCTCCCCGAGGAAGCTCCAAACTTCGTCTCTCGCTGAGATTCCAATTGGCTTCCGGTGAAGGATTTCGAAATTTCTTTCTCAAGAACTTCTCTATCGAAAGCCGAACGACAGCAAAGAGCTAGGAAGCAAGTATGCGCATTGAATATTTCCTTTTTCCAAACGTGCAGTTAACGGATTGATGAGATGCTATTAAGACATAACATGAAAGCTTTCATTATCGCGCGCATCGAGCGTGCCGGACAATGAGCTTACGATCCGCAGTCGGTCGTTAATACATATTCGAGGCAATGACCGGACGAAATGAAATCGCTTCTCCATAAAACGGGACACTCCGGGCACACAGACAGTGTGTTTTCAGTTTCTTGCGACGGTGGCCATGGCGCACGATCGAGAGCCAGCAGCCAGACTCGTGGAATTCCTCGCTATCATTACTTCGTTTTTCACACGGCAACGCAGTTATCCACTGTGAATCTCGATTTAATGGCGAGTTTCTACCTCGTATCGGAGTCTCAGGCGCGATCTTGTACAGCTATTTTCCAATTTCTGCGTGTAATCCGCTGTTTCACGCACGACGGCGCTTCGCCGTCCGTCCTTTACGCGCGGCACGTTTCTCTCTCTCTCTCTCTCTCTCTCTCTCTCTCTCTCTCTCTCTCTCTCTCTCTCTCTCTCTCTCTCTCTCTCTCTCTCTCTCTCTCTCTCCTCTCTCTCTCTCTCTCTCTCTCTCTCTCTCTCTGCCTGGAAAAGTGCATTTTTGCATCATCGCGCCGCGACGAAACTGGCCTTGCGACATCTCCTCGTCCATCGAATGCCGGGCCCGTGCGGCGGTTTCACGACGATGAGGAGAGAAAGAGAAAAAGGCAAGATTATGCACGCAAGTGCGTGCGCGTTACGTGATCCGTCCGTCGCAAGAACACGTGTGACGAGCAAGTCACTTTTACCTGACTACACGACTACGTGATCATCCTTACTGATAGCGCGATACAATACATTCACGTGCGAGCTACGTCGTCGTCTCGTCCGAGAATGGAGTGCCGTCTTTGGCGTACGACGTGTTTATTCATAAATTCGTTTTCTCTTTCTCTCTCCTCTTCTGGAGCTCCTCGCCGCCGCTCGAGCCGAATAAAAACATATTAAATTGCGGTTCTCATCCGACGACAAGTTACGTGATCACCCTGCGGAATTCCTATATGTTCCTCGGACAAGCAATTAATGCACTCGACATGGAGAAATCGTCGTCGCGGTCAGGTCGCTCTCGCGACTTCGGCTCATACTTGAGTCACATAAACATTCCGATCACGTGGCGATGCAGCGGAACTCGGAATTAATGGAGAATAGGCGCTCTGCCGTGGTCTCCTCGACCTCGCGCGCGGCCTTGTCTTTCAATTACACTAAAGGCGGCACGGTGGTGTACACGTCAAGTCGATTACACCGCCCACCGTCCTTCGGATACGGCGACGCGTGTAAACGACGGCGATCGCGGATTTACCGCGCGCTCCTCGCCGCGCCGATCTGTGGAATCGCGCGCGTGAGACGCGAGAAACGCTTTCGCGGCCGTGACACTGTTGAGGCATACGCTTGCCGAGTGTACACAGCGCGGGCAGTGATCGTTCTCGAGCGGAGACGTGCCGACTTGTTTCTGGCTATGCTAATTTCCGTCGGCGGTGCCAACGACTCGGGAATCCCGAGGACACATGCGAGACGCTCGGAAGCTCCGCGGATCTAGCGGCGTATTGGAAAATCAATATCGTCATCGGGGCTTTCTCGGGTGTAATTATATAGACCGGTGACTTGCGAAAACGCGCAACGTCTCGAAGATGCTGATATTCTCACGCCTTGGCAAACGTCGATCCGCCGATATTTAGCCAGCTGCGTATCCCTGACGACGTTATCTCGAGAGAAGAATCTTCATAGTCGATGCCGCTCCGTTTGTCGATTCTCTGCGAGTAGAATGAACGGAAGCTGAATTCGCGCGAGGGGATGACGAATCTTAATTCGCATGCCCGCGCTAACATTAAATTAATGCGCCGTGTACATCGCGGTGATTCGTCGGGAATCGCGATAGGAGGTCGTCTCGAAAATATCACAACCACCACGCGAGTCACGGCACGTCGTATCTTACCGTACACGCGACTTGTACAACGCCGATGATTGTAGCGGTAATCCTTCAAGGAAACAACCGTGTGTGAGTATTCTTAGCTACATTACGTTACCAGACGCGTTACCTAATGGCAAAATTTCTATTGTCGAACTCACCGGCGTTCGCGACGTCAAGAGTCGCCCGTGTCGTAGCCTTCATATTCCTGCGGGATCTTCTGGAACGTTGTTTCCGAGTCTTTCGCGACCATCGCTGAATGAGCTTCTTGCCCGACGCGGCTTGCCCTTCGCTCTCTTTTTCACTGCAACAACATCGAGTGTAACGGTTACTTTTATCTATCATCGTCAGCGCTACAATTACCCGAGCTGTAATAGTATCGCATTAATCACGTTTTAACTACTCATTCATCATCGGATGGAATGCACTGATAACGATCGCGACATTAATGACGTCGGGTCGACGTCGCTTTTAATCGCTCTGCCCAACTATTGTAGCGAGCAACCGGCGTTATGTTTTCGCAAACACCTGCGGCGAATCGTCCCCGATATTCTTCGCGCGCGCGCGCGCGCGCGCGTGTGTGTGTGTGTGTGTGTGTGTGTGTGTGTGTGTGTGTGTGTGTGTGTGTGGTTAACGATTTAACAATGATGAATCGCTTGTCCGAGAAGTCGATTAATCGCATTGTTTTCAATTTTGCTCTGTTATCGCCCGCTAACCCGAAGTGACAGAGAAAATAATGTAGTTTGAAAGCAGACCTTATCGCGCTTCAAGACCACACGCGCCAAGCGAATTCCTATCGCGTCAATACGCACATGTATACTTCCTACTTGAAGAAATATCGTACATACTTTCGTCGTACTTTAAACATTACAAATATCATGGCTTTTCGCATTGCTTTCCTTCGGCCGATATCGCGCTCACCGTAGATCATTCTCCTGACAACGCGAGACGCTCGAGACGTCTTCCACGTCCTCCCACTCGGATTCCTTGCCGTTCGTCGAGGGCAATCCGAAGACACAGCCGGGTGTGGAGCCGGCGTAAAGGCTATTGACGCGCTCCTCGGCTGGCTCCGGCAGGCCGACGTCGTCATACACATCTAGCTCGTCCCGTTCTTCCTCGCCCAGATCGGCCTCGTCCACTTTGGAATATTCATTGTTCATCGTAAAATACCGATCGTCGCTCGAAGCGAACAGCGACGCCTCCGCGCGACCCCTCGAAGTCGCTCGTAACTCCACGAGCGGTTGCTGCTCCTTGTTCGACTCTTCGTCGACAGCCTTGGAAACGGACTGATTATTCTTCTCCACGGCAGAGTTGTCCCGTTTAAAAGCGGCTGGCATCACGTCGTCGTAGATCTCCTCGCAGTCGTTGCTGATGACAGCGAGCTTTTCGTCCTCGCGAATCTTCGGTGGACCCACGTCGTCGTAGTCGGATTCCTGACAAGGATTTCATTAGTCCGTGCATGTTCTCTTAATTTGCAGAAGCGTGCAGAATTTATGTGACACCTGTGTGGTGATGGACGAGTTGGAAGCATCGTGACTTGTTGACTCTCGATATGGAAGGGTGTCGGATATGTACGCGAAAGCGAAATTTCAGATGGTGCAAATCGAATTACGCGTTGTCCGTGACAGCCCATTTCTGTCTTGAATTTTTGCAAGCGCGCAGCGCGAATCGATTATTCGGCATTCCATTTCACCTTCGTTAACGACGGTTAGCCAATCGCTGATGCATTCGGCTATCGCGTGAGAGTTGAGTCTAACTGCAAATACCTATTCTGATCACGAATGTGTAATACGAGCTATCAAGCTGCAATAAGAGTCTCACGATATTGTTTCTTGGGAATCGCGTTTTTGGTGTTTTCGCATATGCGAATAGAATTTTTTGAACGATTGCGTTCAGCAAAATAAAAGGCATCCTTCTCAAAGCGGTCGGTCGGATTTACAAATTGAAACATGTTGCGAAACTTTTAATAGACGAAACGCGCGATGCATGCGCGGATTTCCATAGATTAGAGAGCAAAATTTCATTTTATCGGAGCTCATTATAACGGAATCCGCATGCATATGATGATTCGTACCGCTTGAGCGACGAAGTTTGACGGGCCGACGTCGTCGTATTCCTCGCTGTCGACGTCCTCCTCGTTTTCGTTCGTCGTGCTGGCACGAGTGTCATGCTTGTCACTTGGAAAAGTCTTGGCCCGGTGATTGCTCCACAGAAAGCTGCTGTTGACTTGCGGCAGTGCTCGGGGGCAGGACTGGCAGACCTGCTCGTATGTCTCACCTTCTGGCGGATCGGCCTGATTCTCGATCGCGATTTTCACCATCTGGCCGGTCTCCAAAACTTTCGCCGCCTGTGACTGCTGGTCGCTCGAAGATTCGCTCTTGATCTCAGCATAATGCGTGCGACCGTTCCTATCTGCATATGGGAATTTACTGTCTTTTATGGGAGAAGAATTTACCATTTAATATAATTATTAATTGTTATTTTTTTTTCGACACTTTTACAGGAAAACTTTTGCGAGTTCGACTATTGGAAAAGTGTTACACCGTTTGTCGCGTATGCTTTCAATGATAGAGACTATTCACCTCGATCGTGCATAGGTTTAAAGGTATATTTGTGCAAATCAAGCCACGTTTGTGCAAGGCGGAATTTGCATAAATACCACGACCGTGCTCGACGAAGAAATCTGGTGACGTTTCGAGAGAGCTTACCAGCGACGCTTTCGTCGGTCGATTCTCCCATGGGCTGGCTAGAGCTTACGTCGTCCATAGAGGACATTCCTGAGACGACCTTGGATCGCTCGACGTTCTCATTCCCAACCGTCGCGCGTCGCTCGTCCTTTCCAACGAGCAAAGGCAACGTAGCGCATATCTGCTGATGAGTAATCACGACGGTAGACTTGACGGTGTTCTCGTTCGAAACCAGGCTGGGGTTTGTGGCGGACGCCACGTGAACAAAGTTGCTCGGCGGCGAGATGGTCAGCTCTCTGGGCAGACTCCTGGTACTGCAGGAGTTTTGAACAGTCTTCGAGGGCGCCGGGTACAACGATCTCAGAGAGCTCAGCGAACTGCTAAGTGCGTATTTCTTCTTTAGCTTCTTCTTCTTCTTTGGCTGCTTCACCAAATGTCGCGGCACGTAGTGCAGGACGTTCTTGGCGAAGCGCTTATGCTTCTTCTTCTTCTGCCGCGACGATGCGTCGTTTTCGCCGCTTGTTGTCGACTCCGTATCCTCTTTTGAATATTTCACGTGCGTGCTTTCGTACAAATGCTCTTCCGTCGCTAGGTCGATCAAAGATTTCGATTTCGCGGCTGCGTTCAAAGTAGTTGGAGTACTTTCTTCGACTTTGTCGATACGCGATACGCGTTCGAGAGTTTTCCTCTTTGGGACTTCGGGCTCGAAATTTGAAGGCGATCTCTCCAACATGGACACTTTGCAATTTACGATATCCATCTTCTCGTAATCGCCAGAAGAGCTGGAGTCTTGTCTCTCAATAGGGTATTTTTTCTTTTCACCTTGATCTTCAACAGTGTCAGCGTCATCGCGAGAACTTTTCTCCGTTTGCGGATGCGTCAAGTTACGACTATCGCCGTTTGGAAAGTCTTTCATGCAAGATTCTTCCTTGATGGATGGACTTGGGGCAATTTCTACGGAATTTTCTATGTACTTTGTCGCATTTGCTAGCACGCTGATTTCTTCTCGTCCGGTGTTCTCGATATCGCGCTCGGTTCCGGAATTCGGTATTGCGGCGGAACAGGTCGACTGGTTCTCCGATTTCGCGGAAGAGAAGATCAGATACTTGGAGTAACTTTTCCATTGGTGACTCGCTCCGGATTTCACCTAACAGCGAAACGGGTGTAATTAGGCGGATGGCTAACTGAATCGGTTATTGCAGGTGTCACAAGAAAGATCCTTTCAGAGCAGAGGGAAAAACTCTTACAATTGCCTATTATTACATTTTTCACAAAAATATTTCCGGTCGGATATATTTGAAACGTTTTTTTGCAATAACGTGCTTTGATATATACGGCGCAATTTTTTATGGAAAAAATATATGGTTTTTCGTGGATTCGTGATTTTACGGAAAACAAGGACGCTTATATCCAGAGAAAATGACAGAGAAAAAAAAGAGCGTGAGAAGGCGTAGCTCGTTTTTCCCCGTCACTCGCATTCCGTACCTTCGTCAAACGGATGGAATGTCGGCGATATGAGGAAATCACAGTCGTCCCGCAGTAAAACAACGTATCGTGCAATAAATGTTGCTCGATATCGCTTAGGAAAAGTTTTCGCCTGTTGACTTTTGAAGGGGAGGGCTGAGTGTTTCTTTCGGATAACGATGTCGCGACAAAGGTACACGGTGGATACGACCCACCGTATACCTTTGCTTTGCTGGGTCAACGTGAATCTCATCCGATGCTGCGAGCGAACGTCACATGAGCTAACAAGCCACTCCTCCGACTATTAGCATCCTTTTGCTCGTGTACGTCCACATGTGCGTATCCCGGAGTCGCGACTCGCAAGAGAAAACATAACACTTGCTCTCTTCTTAAACTTGAAGTCATGTAAACTCCCTTGCTTCTAAATGCGAACATCCGGGTCGTGCGAGTAAGAATGATAATCGGCAAAATCTCTCGGATTTTCGTGAATTTAGAAAATTCGATCTTCCGCTTGGATGACTATTACACCATTTTAAAGATTGCGAAAAGTAGCAAACATCATTCAGTCTGTCTTATATTCTTTACGATCACAAGAAGAAAATTGAAGACATTTTTCTGACCCTAATGAATCCGTTTCATCTTTCGGTGTAATAAAAATAATTATTAGTTGTATCAAGTTACTTCACGTTTTCGATATCGACATACCTTGCAGGTCGAATGTTTGGACGAAATTTTCCCACCAATGGGCCTCTTCTCTTTGTCTGCTTTCCCCGTCTTTTCGACATTGTCGTCGTCCACGGGAAGCAACTGTAGAGGCAATCTTGTTCGCTTCAGGGCCAAACTATCGAGAGTAGCGTAGACAACTTTGTCAGAGATCAGGGCAGCCTTATGGCTATGCAGGAAACTCCGATTAGCTGTAGGCGAAGGATTCATCTCGTCCTTTTTCTACCGACTCGTTCCAATTCTTAACGTGTTCTTATCTTCAGCTATCACATCACTCATTGTTTTCTCGTTTGATCCGTGAAATCTAATGAAATACAAATGTTTCCAGCTATATTTTCTTTATCCTTCCTCTTTTCGCTTTTAAATAAATTTTATTATGTGGATATCTTTATTTGTATATATGTTATTAAAGACGAAGATTCTTCTATTTAATATAATTTTCAACAAGCAACTTTTACAGCAATTTTTACGTTAGATATCTGCGATTATCTGCATTTAGTATTAAAATCGCAATTCTGGCTCTACTCTATTCTATTCGCGACGAATATCGATGCGTCGCGCATCAGTGCGTCTGTGTGTTTTGAGATCAGAACGTAATATACGATAGAATATACAGACACAGGAAAAAGAATCATCGTTACCTCGCAATCAGACACGAAAAGGATGCAAAGAACCGCACGTCCAAACGTTTTCCGCGAAAGCACCGATAAGCGGTTTTCATGGGTGTTCTTATCAGAGTACCGCGTGCACATATGATCACGATGCTGGGTACGCGAATCGCGACTACAACGGTTGTTTATTGTACAATTCTGCGATAAGTATCTATTGCGTAATTTACAATTGTTGACGGAAGCGTCCGAGTTTTTGGAAATATCTTAAGTTTATATGACTTTGTATAATTGTCTAAGCAATTATTTGAATTTGATCGGAAGTATACGTGAGGTCATTTATTTTTGTGAGATCTAGTATTATGAATCAAGCGGATGGGCAATCGACAATCTTTTAGATAAGCGTATCAGTTTCCGGTTATGGTATTACATTATCATAGAAAATATGAAAAAGCTCGTTATAATGGTTCCTTTCTACCATCATTTTTCACATTTTCGAGTTATCTATCTGAAGAATCAGTCGTGTATATTAGATAATTTTAATCAACTGGATACGATTTAGATTATTCAGTTACTAAACGTTTTTACGATAATTGTTGAAACGAGACAATATAGCGTATTTCAAATTAAAAAAAACAATTCATACCTTTTATAAATTCCATTCACTCAAACGCCTTAATTACTCCTCAATTATGCTTGACCTCGCCTCAAACTCACGTAACATCAAAACTGCAATCACGAAGAGGTCGTCGATGTTCCGTCATTAGACAGTGTCGCACGACGGCTTACTGCTATGCCATCTGTCAACCACTCATCCGTCGTATCACATTGCGTCGTTTTGCAAACAAAAATCATAACCAGGATAAATACTGATCTGACATACACAATCTAAGTCTAAATCCTCGCGAACCTCCGCGGATATCTCATCATTAATCACTGTGTCAAGACACCCGTTACACGTGCATATTCGTATCTCGCGTATTCGCGAACGTACGTTCGTACACACGTCTGTACATCGCACGTGCGTTCACGACTACTCGGGACGAGCACGATGCGCACGCAAAACAGCGCACAATCACACGGCACAATACGCACTGATCGCGCGGATCCGACTGTGCCGCCGCGGCGATCGATAGTCGATGATCGAGCAGCACGAGTGAGCGAGGGAACGACAATCACGTGGCTGGGAGCGCAGCCCGCGTACCTGACTCGTGAGTCGTCGGCAAGACTCGCTGATCCTCGACGAGTTTGACGCCAGTGCCGTAACATGCGAATCTCCGATCCATCAATCTCTTTTTCCTTAGATGCTGACAGCTTTTTGCTCTTATTGTTAGTCTGTAGATTATGATATATATTCTGTAAAAATATTTAAATACTACTTAGAAGTTTCATTTCAGAATTATAGAAATTAAAAAAAGATATTACAGTAAAATATTACGACAAATCTTATATGTGTATTAAGTGCGCTTAGATATTTTGTACAAATCGACCAGACGTACGCTTAATTTTCCGTGGGAGATCTTTAGAAAATGTCATGTTTTGAAAGTAAGTTCACTACGCTATCTTGGAATTGAGGTGAACTAAGTAGTGAAATCACTCGATACTTGCAACAATCGACGTGACTTGTGTTCACATGAAATATCTATTGGCTTTTTCTCCATGCTTCTTGTGCGTGCACACAATTGCAATCTTCCACAGACGAATGAGTTTCCTGTAAAATATTTACTCGTCGGTAAGCAAGAGTGTTTGTGAAAGTTGCACGCGTGCTTGTTTATTACTGGCAGACACTAGTGATTTTTTTCGCGGCATTCTTTGCACGTGTATGACACCCTCTACTCAATTCCACGTACGCGCACGTGTGCGCACGCATGTATGTCCAAGCTGTACCGATACTAAGATAAAAAGAAAACACTCGCTGCACTCCATTCGATAAGATAAGTCGAATAACGTTTTATCCGATTATATTGAATTAACACTTCAAATCTAGTCTTCGCTCCCAAATTTATATTTACATGGATCGCAAAATATTCTGACTGCATAGCTAGTGAAAGTAACTTGGGCGTTTGAAAATGATTATAAGAAGAAACATGTCCAAAATCATGCCTTTTCTCTAACCGCAGAATTGCACGAAAGCGCATATATATTCGTACAGATTTCTCTTCGAATATATTTCTACTGGTGAACACGTACTTTCTGTATTAAATGTTTGCAGCGTAGTGTTTTGTAACACGGCGCATCGCTCCGCGATGGAGGATGCGAGAGGCGAAAGAAATGCGCACAGCTATAACACCGTGTCGCCCCCTTCGTGTCCGACCGTGTTCGACTCCTTTGAAGCAATTCAACAGTGATTCCGCATTCTTTCGTGGGTTTCTCCGTTTCGTTCTCGTGCTAGTTTTCATAATCTAACGCTCATGCCTCTCGTGTATATGTAATACGATAATTCCTTTATGCATTGTGCGCACAAGGCGTTTTCGCAATGTTTAAATTAAATCTCGTCAATTACAAAATCGGAAACTGCCGGAAATTAATCTCTCGTGTATAAGAGCTGGATACCGGAGTAATAATCCAGTGAGCCGAACGGAGTGCATTTTATACAAGAGCGTACATACATTCACACAAGCAAGATGGTGGTGATATCGTGCGTCAGAGGTGCGTCAGAATCTCTACATTCCTACGCAGGTGAATCTGGGATGCTGATGTGGCACGTTAACCCCATTCGGTCTTCCCTGAGCAACACGTTCAAGGACCGGCGAAATTGTTATTTCGCAGAAGGCTTCTCCTGCAAAGTGGAGCGAGATATTAAAATATGATAAATTCGATCGACTCATTCGTTGCGGAGGAAAAACAAAAAGACGATGAGCACACACACGTGTGCCACATTGCTCGATCGCTCTTGTTATTGTAATCTCTTGTTGTTATAATCTTGTTGCTTCACTGAACACAATGTATCGAATAACGAATAATTGTTTTAACTAAACAGTACTAAGCTAAATGGAAAAATTGAATTAGTAATTACAACGTTGTCTTTTATGCGTGCAACTCGAAATGTGATTTGCAAATATTCAACATCTTTCACTTTTTGTTACGATCGTGTTACCTAATATCAGAGATATTTTTCTAGTTTCAAGTTTACTTGGAACGCGCAATTATTACTTTGCTTACGTAGATTTTTTATTTACAGTTAGTTTGCTCGCCTTATTATCGCGTTACAGCTAATTTGGCAGAGCACTGTACAGTGAATCAATTGTAATTACGTTGCGTGGCCGTCTCTAATTACACGATCAAATTATGATACGTCAAATATGAGTTTCGTGTTTCGGTAGTCAACGTGCAGGTATAACGCTCGCGATTTTCATTTTAGACGTGAGAAGAAATATACTTTACCTTTTCTGGTATCTAAATTACATTTTGCATCGTATACACGTTTATTCTTTATAATAAAATCCCTCCCGGGATTATAATAAAATCCACAGCTTTTGCTTCTATCATAACACTTGTCGCATTCTCTTCTTTTTGTTTTTCAAAATGCATTCTACCGGTCGAATAATTTTGCAAGAACGTATGTATGTATTTTAAATCGTGTACGTCGTGATAAATGTCTCTCGAGAGGCCACTAGTCTGAGATTGTAATCTTCCGCTCCCCACCGGTGATACCGTAAGCTCATCCGCATCGGGGAAACGTGGAATCACGATTACCAGCCGCGTTGTTAGTAGTCAACTTGCAGAAGACGTTGAGTTCACTTGGAAGCGCTATCGTTCCATCAGATATCGCCTTCATATCTCTTATCCAGGTAAGTTACCTACAAAAAGAAAACAGAAAACTGAATCCCGAGAAAGGAGAAATGAGAAGTCGACGATAATTTATTCTGTGACATTAAATTCTTCCAATCTTCTAAAACATTTAAAAAAATGTTTGACTAAAGACTAAAACAAGATGATTTCATTTTGTTGAAGGAAATAAAAAGTGATGAGGATAAATAAAAGAAGAGATGGAAACAAAAATAACAATTTTATGTTATGAACTTGTTTCAAAGATTACAAATGTTCAAACAGTGTGACTTTCCGTTTCTTCTTTTAATTTATCCATACCTCGCATGAAGTTCTTTCCTTCTCAATTAACGGAAAAAATAATTAATGCACTCAACATGGGCATATAAAATTTACCAAGTCACAGAAAGGGATCACCGACTTATTGCATTTGAGCGTTATTGACGGTAACGGTGTTTCCTACGGTCTTAGAACCGGTACATCGTTCCGCGAATTGTACCGGGTGTTGCAGATCTACCGTATCAGCTCTTATTTTCAGACTTTGTCATTAATTTCAAATCTACCTTTGTAATGTAATAAAAATCGACAATTCATACATGTTAAGCTATCCCGAAGATCTCTCGAAACAGAAAAATTATTTCGTTGTCCAGACTCGTAAGTAGAATATGTATTCGATGTGTTAGTATGTACTATAAGAAAGTGTTTACACGTAACGTCCTCCGTGACAACTCATATTAAATAAGATACAAGATTGTATACATATTAACGTTTCATAATTTTTTACAAGGCGATATACGCGGCCTCGTTGAATATAAAATATAATTAATACTTGATTAAATATTCCAATTATGGATTACGAGTATTAAAATCAGCCTCGTGAAATGATTATGCTAAAAATGAAATTATATAATTTTAGTTGAGTAGAAGTTTAGTAGAAAATATAAGTTTAGAAAATCAAGATTTACACGCATACATTGCACTATACTTCAATGTAAGTGGAATAATCTAGAAATATTTTAACTTGCAAATATTGATTCATGGAATTATCTTACTATATAATGCGTCATCACATGACCAAATCCCTTATATTTTCTTTCGTATAGTCGTGTTTATCAGAATCATTATCACCTATTCAGTATTCCAACTTAATTTTCCTTAATTATAATTTTGACTGTATAACGTTATGTTGATTGAATTAGTCAGTTTGGCAACTTTTAGCTTGTCATCGCACCAATGTCGTGATGTTTTCGAATGTTAGCGGAAATTTTTATAAACGATCGCAAGAAGTTAATGTAGTCTGACCCTGACTGATAGCTATTGCGACAACTCACGAGGTGGGGATTAACGTTTTTAACTGTGCATACACTCGGTCAGTGGTCACAAAGCGCTTGGCAGTGTCTACAGCTTGCTACAAGTAACTGCAAAGATGTCTCTCGATAAGGTAATCGTAAACTTTATCTCTCGACTCGACGTGTGTTAAATAAGAACGAGTTATCTCAATGTTTGAGCGAATACCGCGCATAGAGTACGTCTACAGACTGCGCCGTCGAATTGATCGCAGCGGAAATGATCGACGAAAATCAGACGACTAACGTGGCATACAAATTTCGTTTTGCTCTCGAGTCCCGCGATCGTGCGATATTATCGTGTGCATTTCTCCGGGGAGAAATTCGGGACAACTGGTTGATCAGCGTTTAATTGGGATGCACATGTCCGAGGAAAGTCTCGGGGCTCGACTCGGTGACGAAATATTTCGATATCATTCACCGAGCGATGCAAAAACTTTAGAATCGAGAATAATGATCTTTTTCGCGGTCAATCTCTCCGATTTTAAATTTCGACAGAAGCGATTTTAGTACCGTGACTTTGCATTTTAGCGCGATGGGGCTATCGTTTCCGTTCGTATAATTTCAATGCGTAAAGTCATCGATGAATCAAAGATTGACTTTTATGAGTATCGATTATTAAGTATTTGAGTGAAGTGTTGAAAATACAGATGATCACCGTGTAGACATGAGTTTGAAACAGAAGAAACAGGCAATGCCTTGTATTGTGTAATTATTATTTGTTCATTCTATTGGAAACATCGCATCATGGATGTATTCTGTTCATATTTTCAACGCTTCATTGACAAATATTAAGAAATTCAGATATTCAGAAATAACAAAATTGAATTTTTGTCACAGCTATTTGAGGATGCTGCTGAATCTGTAAAGACTCTTACTACGCGTCCGAGTGACGAGGAACTTTTGGAAATTTATGCCCTATATAAACAAGCTACAGTTGGTGATAATGAAACATGTAAGTTGCTATCTTTATCTTGGGGCTCTACATTTAATTATGAGATGTATCTCTCTAAGGTAAATCTTAATTGATTTGCTGACAAAAATTCCGGAATTATTCATCATAAAACTTGAGAAATATAAAATTAAAATTATAATTAATATTCTTAAAATAATAGTAATTATTTTCTCTCACGTACTGGCGAGTTTAAATTTATACTTCCATCTATGTCCATATATTATTAATGTAATATAATATCATAGGTGAATCTCATTTGTGTCATGTCGTAAGTTAATTACATTATGTTGTGTTAAAATGTTCCAGCCAAGCCTGGCATGTTTGACCTGAAAGGAAAAGCAAAGTGGGAAGCTTGGAACAAGAAAAAGGGAATCGTCAAAGAAACGGCGAAGCAAGCCTACATCGATTACGTTAACAAGATATTAGACAAATACAAATAGTTTCATATAAATGGTCGCTGTTATAATCTTCTAAACATAAGAAATTGTCAATTCTATCCTTACATTTTTTCTACATATATGAGGTTATGTACGATTATGGGTATCATTTTCTTAATACATGTAATTTGTACATTTATTTTCACATAAGAATTATTTTAACATATTAATAACCTATTCGAAATAGGTTACCTACGTTCATATCTCCAAAAATCTTCTCGTAACTTAGGTAAAGTGTCTCTGAATGTCTCAACGGCGAATTTACTCCGACTTTTTTGAACGACATCAAAACCGTAATGGCAGTCTTCTTCTAGTTTTAATCGATTCTGATGGAAATGTGCAGTCATGATGCGTAGATAAAAAAATCGATTAAATTTTGAATTTCCTTCGATCGTGATGTCACTCATATCGTGAGGGCGTTACTATCGATAACGATATATCTCGATTTCGGTATATCGATAGTGACGAGGCCATTTTCGATAGTTTCGAGTATAAATTATGATTGGCAGATTCAAAATTTCAGTTGGCTGTTTGGCCGGAGTGTTCACATGTATGAGTTGCCCAAGTCGTAAGAACGTAAAAGAGTTGTGGAGTGATACTGGCGGGCTTATGGCAATTATTTATTAGTATATTCAAACGAAAATGAGTTTAAATGGTAGTTTCGTACAGTGGCGGGACTCGTCACGAAATGATTCGTACCATTTCGATGACGAATCCTTTTTCATTTCGGATAGCGAGGACGAAGACGTCGTCCATAGTTCTTTGAAGCAACGTCATTTGATCGACGAGAGCAACGAGAACGATGGCGATGTGTCATATAATGCGATGTCTACAAAGTGAGTATCGCTATGGCGAGACATTTTTGTCTCGTTAAAGTCATATTCTATGATTGTAGATATGCAAAATTAGCCCTTATGAATTTACAATGATGAAATCGTAACAGGCATTAGGATATATGTTTTCCCATGAATATACAAAAAAGAATAAACTCCATAATCTCTCTTTATCGTTTTTAACTTTATTACGTTTGTTACCTTCGGCAGAACAAAAAAATTATTAATGCACTCAAACGGTACGAGTATTCTGCTGATTGTTCTTAAGTTGGTACTATTAATGTTATATGTACAATGGATATGTTTAAACTTGTTATATTTGATATGTGATGTTCTTTGTTTGCTATAACTGAACAAAGTCCTTAAATGATTGTACAATTATATTTTACCCAATGTAATCATATATGTATAAATTGGCAATGCTGATAGTACTATCTCTCTCAATTTAACTTAATAATAATTCTATTACCACAGTTGCTTCAAAATGGATTTACTGCTGTTAACAATTAGATTAATTTAATATTAATATAATATCTAATGATAAGAATGTACAATGATATTTTGTATGTATAGAAATAGTTCCTCTGAAGTTACGCCAAGTTCGAAGAAGAATATCAGACGACTGTTTGATAAAAATAATGTAATTTCTGATGAAAGTACAAGTGATGAGGGCTTAAGAGATGAAGCTGAGAGTGATGAATATAAGACATCTTATGACAGCGATAATGGCTCAGATCCAGATTATACTAATAATAAAGACTATGGTACCCTATGCATCAATATTATCTTTCATTTCAGATATTTGTTATTAAAATAATATAACCATATCTTTACTTGACTGTATGATTTTCCATATAGATTCATCAATTTCATATTCACCACATGAAAAGAAAGGTAAAAAACGGAAGGATGTTACTCATGACAATACCAGGGAAGATATAAAAGGATTTAAATTTAACAGTTCCAGTGAATCTTTTGATGAAATTAATAAGCCCTTACATGACCATAATGAATATACAAAAAATAAAACTGAATCGAAGTTGGTTCTGGAAGATGAAGCATCTAATAATGTATCAACTATTGTACTCGACTCAGGTAATTTTACTCATTACACAAGATAGATTGATCCTTCTTAAGTTTTTTTGAGAAAATTCTTTTGATTATGGTATAACCTATAGATTCCCATTCTGGGGAAAATAGTGGGTCAGAATTAGCAGTATCTTTAGCAAAGCAAGAGATTGGTGTTGGAAATGTGGATCCATTAATGGCGCAAAAGAGGGCAATGATTACTTGCAAATTGCATTCATTGCAGGATAAGATAACAGCGACAAAAGTATAATATATTTTAATATTATTACAAAGTAATAAAATTTAACACCAAAAAATATATATATTATTTGGTTCTTAATAAAACTAAGGAAACAAATATGCAATATTGTATATACTACAAGATATGTTATAAAGATGGTTTCTTTTAGCGAATACTTGATGATGGTAAGATTGAAGTATTGGAAGATAAAGGAGAAAAATTACGTGAGACTGTGCATAAATATGAAAAAGAGGCCGAGCTATTAAAACTTGAATTGGAAAATACACCCTTGGTGCAGAATATTGATACTGAGAAAACTGTGAAGAATGAAACAAAAAAGAAATTATTTCTCATAGATGAGTCAAACCTTAGTCAAATGGATTCTTCATATTTGGATATTGATAATATAACAATGAAGCCTACTACATCCCCAGTATCAAAGAAATTGGGTAAGAAAGCGCAAGAAACGAGGGATAAGGAGCTTGCTTTAACAGTCGAACGATTACAAGATCTACATGGATCTCTCGTGGCTCGTCCATTGGAAGATGAGAAAGTCGAAGATCCAAGAGGGTTGAAAGTATCATTAATGCCACATCAACAGCATGCTCTCGCATGGCTTTTATGGAGGGAGCAGCAAAGACCTTCTGGCGGTGTTTTAGGTGAATATTGTAAAGTAATCTTTAATGTCAACTATATGATACCATTTTTTTAATTTGAATTTTTTCTTCCTGCAGCTGATGACATGGGCTTAGGCAAGACGCTAACTATGATATCTTTGATCATAGCTACTCTTGACAAGAAACATTCTATCGATGATAGTGATGATAGTGATGACAGTGATAACAAATGGAGCAAAAATAAACCTTTGCGTACGTGAAAACTCATTTCATAAGACTTATTATATTATCGAGAATCTTTGTATCTTCTACTTTCAAGTCATCAACACATAGGTGCACATAATATGAAAACAATCTGTTGGAGCAATTATGTTCGATTTCTACCCACAGGTCACGCGGGTGGCACTCTCGTAGTATGCCCGGCATCTCTATTATCGCAGTGGGAGAAAGAAGTACAGGACAAATGCAAACGTGGTCTATTGTCTGTCGAAGTATATCACGGCAGCAATCGAGAGAACATACCTGTTCGCTTAGCGAAGAATGATATCGTTATTACGACGTATAATATAGCAGCTCGAGAATTTAAAATCAATGCTACTCTATTTAAGGTATTTTGCAACGTAAAAATATTATCTGACTTTTATTAGTGGCAGATATTGAGAAATATTGAATCGTGACAAAATTTGTAGATCCACTGGAAAAGAGTGATACTCGATGAAGCTCATATGATAAGGAATCACAAGAGTCAAGCGGCCGTAGCAGTTTGCGGATTTATAGCGGCTAAACGGTGGGCACTTACTGGTACACCCATACAAAATAAGGAAGTGGATCTATATTCTATTTTGAAGTTTCTGAAGTGTACGCCTTTCGATGATCTGCGCGTATGGAAACGATGGGTGGATAATAAGAATGCTGCCGGCCATCAGAGATTGGCGACCGTTATGAAAACGTTAATGTTGCGACGAACCAAGCAAGAATTGCAATCACAAGGCTGTTTAGAGAGTTTACCCAACAAGTATATAGAGGAAGTGACAGTGAAACTTGATTCGCAGGAGCAATTGGTATACGAGAAAATTTTAGTTTACTCTCGTACTCTCTTTGCACAGTTTTTGGCTCAACGTGCTGAAAAGGATCACATGTTTGAACTTTACGGTGGAAAATATAATCAGCCAACTTTCTTGTCAAATCCGAGTAAGTTGAATATTCAATGTATCATAAGATTCCACATAAAATCTCAATATTTTCATATAAATTTTTTATTTATCCTTAATGAGTAGTATTCAAAAATTTTGATACACATACTCGGTAATTGTCTGTTTTTTAACTTACAGACAAAGAGACGCAGTTCACGAAAGCTCAGAAAAAGCTGTTGGCGATGCATGCCGACGTAAAAACACACGAAATTTTGGTACTTCTACTTAGATTACGTCAAGTCTGTTGCCATCCAGCATTAATACAGGCAATGCTCGACCAAGAGGACATGCAAATGAGCGGAATAATGAACACTGAAAATATGAATTCCAAGTTATTATCGCAAATGAGTAACATATCCCTTAATGAAGACAATTACGAGAATTCTAAGGAGGACGAAGAAATCGGTATTGACCGTAGAATAGTTCAAAATGTACTTACCACTGAGAATCGAGTATTCAACGATGATCGCGTTAGTTCTAAAGTGAGTGATAATCGTGTTCATTCAAACAAAGTTTAATAGATTTGAATCGTATGTGATTAATGCAATATACAATAATTTTTAGATGAGAACCGTACTCGATATGGTCAAGAAAATTTTACAAACGAACGACAAACTTATTATTGTTTCACAATGGGCCACTTTACTAAATGTTATAGCGTCACATTTGGAGTTTGTAGAAGGCGCTACATTTGCCAAGTTTACGGGAAATGTAGCCATTAAAGATCGGCCGGTATGTATATATAAATAATAATTCCGTTATTGACAGATATAATATCTCTTTTTCACACTTTATCTTGTTACAAAAAAGAGATGAACATTGACACATCTTTCAGGCTATAATTGATTCTTTCAACAAATCGAATTCCGATCCGAGAATCTTACTGCTATCACTTACTGCCGGAGGAGTGGGGTTGAATTTGGTAGGGGCCAACCATTTGTTATTATTTGACATTCATTGGAATCCACAATTAGAATCGCAAGCACAAGATAGAATTTACCGTTTCGGACAAAAGAAGGACGTATACATTTACAAGTGAGTGTATCACGCACAGTTTTAGCGCGTTACATCCAATTTTGTTTTAACGTCGAGCTGCTTTCGTTCCAGATTTATTTGCAGTAATACAATAGAAGAGCGCATAAAAGGTCTTCAAGAGCAAAAGCTTGCTATCGCGCAAAATGTATTAAGCGGCGATAGGAGCAAAGAGATTACAAAGCTTACGTTCAACGATCTCAAGTCGTTGTTTGCTCTTTAACTTGGCCTTTATACGACACAATACATAATATAATAATTTATTGGTTCTTTATTAATATACCACTCTTCCGAGTATTATTATATAAAAACTTTATTTTATTTAAGTGTACAAAACATTTTTATAGGTTTCATTATGACTTTTTATTATATAACTGTAAAAGATAGGACTTTTGTTAGGATAATTGTAACTTAACTTCTTATGATTAATATGTCCATTCTCAACTTTTTTTTTTCTCTTTAAAATGCGAATAAACTTATTCAGTTTAATTATCAATAATACAGATTAGTGCGTATAGATTTTACATTTTTAACAAGGTTGTTAAAGTTCCACTTGTATATTTTAACACTATTAATGTTCGAAGAAACTCAAATTGGAATTTGTGTAGGTGTAGGTAATACTTTGTGAACTTATATCGTATTTACGTTATTATGTAATATCTTATTTTTAAAGCTTATACGATATTGATCAACATTACAGTCTAATTAATAAATTAAAGTGAAATATAACGAGATATGTTGACACTTGCGATGTATTTATTCTTGTCTCATTACGTAGTGACACTTTAGCTATCAGCGCTTCTCCATTCGCCGTTACTGTCGGTTACCTTTGTTGCCAATTTTCTTTGTCGTATATTACTGTGCCATACGCCGTAAAAGAAATATATGCACAGACCTGCGATATCATCCAAGATTAGTTATAGTTGTATTCGTTCACGCTTATATCTGTTCGTATAACACACATACCAATTGCTGTCCACACGGCGAATCGTATCCATGTCAGTGAGTCCAGCATCATCATTAAATAAATATTGAAAAGGATGCTGACTGCCGGTAAAAATGGCACTAGCGGCACCTATTTATTATATAAGGATTAGTACGATAATATTAATGTAATTGTTTCAGAACTATAATTTCAAGAGTACATCTTACCGTAAACGAAAGCTTCTTGCCGGAAACTGGTTGAAGGTACATAAAGCAGAGCGTAACTACAAGCGCAGCGGCCAGTATTACGAGTGGCACGATGAATATCGCTTTACCGGCACCGATCTCTGTGCTGCACATCGATATGAGAAGAGAGATGCAGATACACAGGATGACTGCAAAAAGAAGTTGCAATAAAATAATGTATCAGACGACGCAGTGGAGCAATGACAGAATGCAATTGACGACGAATCTTACCGTAGCAAAGCACGAGAGCAGTAACGATCTGCGCGGTGAGTTTCGTGGAGTACCTCAATTTATTCGCATTCACTAATTGCTTGATGATGAATACGAACGTCCTCGGATCACGATCACCTTTTTTCTCATACTCTTCACTCTCTTCGTATCTGCAAGAGAGACACGTTAATTATTTTTGTTAATCAACGGTCTGATCTTTTAGATTATTAACCACCGTTTTCACTGACGTCGAGTAACTCTGATTTTGGTTCAATCGATTTTTTTGTTAATATTAAAAATAAATTTTTGTTAATATTAAAAATAAAATTACACCATATGAAGCTGACTGAACTCTTTACGACGAAATCATCGGTTGTGAGCGCACTATTCGCTCTAACTATTAAATTAACTTGAGTTTCTCACCGTAGGATAAGCACGCAAGCTGCAACGATCGAGTACGCGAGTAACGTGCCGATACTCATCATGTCGATCAACTGCTCCAGATCGAAGACCGCCGCTAGAACACCTGCAGCAACATTTTACTTGAGCGATAACACGACTTTAAGGACAGTTAAGGAATCGCGACATAATATACCTGTGAAAAGTCCGGCTATGAACGTGCCCATCAGCGGTGTCTGGAATCGTGAGCTTATTTTACCCATCCACGCGAATATCAACCCATCCGAAGCCATGGCGTAGATCACCCGCGGCAGCGGAAACATTGAGCCTAACAAACTGAGGCAATTGTTCGTAAGTCAAATTAAATTACAATTTAATTTTTTTTTTTTTTTTTTTTAAGATTAATACTGCGGAGTGGGTGCTGTTACCTGGCGCAAAGTCCGCATATCGCGCCGACCGATACAAGCCATTTCGCCCACTCCCATCCTACTTTATCGAACATATGTGGGAACGGTGCTTTGGCATTTTGTTCGTAATAAGGCAGCACGGTGGTGAGCACAGCTGAGACGCCGAAGTATGCCAAGAAGACAATCAACAGCGAGGCCACGATGGCAATTGGAATGGATCTTTGCGGGTTTTTGGCCTCTTCTCCAGTGGTAGCCACGCAATCGAAACCGATGAATCCGTAGAAGCATTTTGCTGCTCCGGCTATGATGCCTGATACACCGTAAGGAGCGAATCCGCCGGTTCCATAGGGGCAATTATTCTTCGTGCACTCGGGTTTTGTTTTCCAGTTATTAATGTCAGCTGCAGTTTGCAATATGTTCGATTAATATGTCGATAGTTGTTTCTTTAATCTGGAATACGCGACGTTCATCAACAAAAGAAAAAGAAGTAAGGAGCTGAGAATTTGTTCAAAGTATAGGTTTCTCACATTCTTGCTACGACTAATTTTTCTATATAAAGACTTGGATAGAAATTGATTTTTGAAACTAAACTGCCATTTCTCACTACATTCCATATATGTCTTTTGATAAAGCACAGCAAGATTATGATTTTAATTTATTTAAAAGCAGAAATTTTTAACCGTAAAATATCTTTAATTGTTTCTCAGTTGAGTGAGAATTTGTTCGTTAGAAGAGCTAGTTGTACATGTTGGTTGAAAAAGATTCGAATCTCGGAGCAGACACCGATCTTCATTTTCGAAGTCTCGAGGCGCCGCTGTATTTCATGAGCAACGGAGATTGTGACATAACTTGACACAAGTCAGACATAACGTATTCGAGTAGACCTGATTTAATCAACCCGAAGTTGATCAAACCTACATTGTTGAGTCGAACATGCACGAGTAAGCTTTGTGATTGATTAATAGAGCCTTGTGATGTCATTTACCCCCGGATCGATTAACCCAGGTCCACTCGAATATGCTACTTTGTACTTTACATCTTCAAGTGATAGAACACAACAACAAGTCAGACGGACTCGTACTTTGTCGTGAAAAATACATAAGATTCAACGTGCTATAAAAATGAGTTCCATAAAAATGATTTATTGAAATCTATTTTTATATTATCGAATATAAAGTTTGTTTTTATTACGATTTTACACGGATATAAATAAAGATCCATCAAGTGCTATATTTGACAGTATGAAATTGATCGAGTTGCATTGTGTAAATAAACAAATACATACAAATATTATTTAAACAATTTGAAAGGATCATTTAAACCAAAGTTACCACTCGCTGAATCTTAATATTTTCTTCTTTGTGAATTCGTTTGTGAATTTTGTTCTGAGAAGGAAACGTATAAGAAAGAAACACGAATTAAAGAAATATACCTTTGAAGGATCCAGCAATCACGACGAAGAGCACGACCGCGAGATTCACTAGGGTGAAGATATTGTTCGCGAACGAGGATTCCTTGGCTCCAAAGGCAACCGCAGCTGAGAAGAAGATCACAAATTGCCATCAGCAGCCATTTTTATTTCTGCCACATAATTGTATAACAAATCAAGAAGAGTTATTAATAGCATTTCTCGGTATGTAATACTAAAGGTATGTTATCTGTACATTGAAAAACTTTCATCACCTGCAAATACCAAGGTGATGCCGAAAGCGAAAAAGTCCGGGTACGATGACATGTATTCAACATTGATCGGCGCCGCTGACGTAAAGGCGTTCTTCATCGTGTTATTGGACAGCGTATCGATGTACTCGCTGAGGGCCCGCACCACGCTGGCTACACCAATTACATACTCCAAAACCAGAGTCCAGCCGATGATAAACGCCACGAATTCGCCCATCGTGACATAGCTGTAAACGTACGCGGATCCAGCTCGTGGTACTCGCGCGCCGAACTCGGCATAACAGATACCTGCAAAGACAATAATCTAACATCTGAGAAAACAGTATTAATTAAGAAATGGTAACACTTGGCTAATCAATTAATTCGAGTGAAGTAATTAATTTTTTCTGTTTCTTTTTTTTTTTTCTTAAGAAGTTGCGAAACGCGCTTAAAAAACGCTTATCTCGCCTACCCGGTGAGGCAACACTCGTCAGGTATCTACTGTATTATTTTCTGCATAGCTTGCATTATTGCGTGACATTAAGATTGAGACGCACTTGAGAAGCAGCTAAAACACTCGGTGGGCAAAATCAGTTTTCATTATTCACTCAGAGATTATTTTAATTCATATTTTCAGCCTTAAATAATTTTTTTTGGAATGGGTGTTTCACGATCGCGAGGTCAGAAAACCGGACAGGAGAATGATGCTTATCCAGAAAATTAGATGATTATCAAGATTTGTTTTGAAAGCGACATTCGAAATTCTTATTTATAATCGAATATTTCATAACGGCAGGTAGAGGCAGACGAGGTAGATCGATAACGAATCGAATCAGTCGCTTTTTTATCTCGTATCAGCACAGCTGGTGCATACCTGCAAACATCGATGCTACCGCGGCGATAGCGAATGAAATCACCACCGCGGGACCTGCAGTGGACTTTGAAACGGATCCTGCCAGGACGTAGACACCCACTCCCAGGGTAGCGCCGATTCCCAAGGCCGTGAGATCGACAGCTGACAAATACCGTGCTAGCTGCGTGTCCATGGTGACATCCATCATCTTCTTGCGGCTAAATGCCTTGTACACGCTGCTAAATTTCCACTTCATGTTGTACAGCTGCAACGAGGTACACGCCGCATTAAAATGTACTTAACATAAAAAAAATGATCGCGAAGAGATTTGTTAAAAACCTCACGATTCTTCATTTAATATTTCGCTCACGTGCTTTTTTATTTATAATACAAAAACGGGACACAAAATCGCAAGTTTGACGATTGACTCACCTCAACGAGCTGCATCACAACAGAATCCATTTTTCTTTTCTGTTTTTTTTTCAAGTGTAATACAAGAACCTTCAAGCGGGATATTCTACAAACTGTCCATCGAACAGTTGTCGCGCGACTAAGGGGATTTAATTGAAATGCCTTTATATAAATCAAGAGCATGGCACATCACGCGTCGGAGATCTCTTCGATGCGCTTAATTGGTCAAGTTAACGCGCCACTGATAGAACACGGCCCTATTGTGGACCTTCGTTCGATATTTATCAAGACTAAATTTCATTGACACTTTGACGCGTCCCCCCGTCTCTCCCATTGCGGTAACTTAAATATTTTCCAGAATCCGATTATAAGTTCTCTCCGTGGTTTGCGATCGCAGCTATTCAACTTGCTAATTTCATTCGCTTATTTTGTACGAGCGCGCGTATTTTCGGCATTGCAATTCGTACGGCCCGTTAAAATACTACGAGAAGTTAAAATCGAAGAGAAAATAAGAATCGATACAATACAAATTTTGTCGCTACGCTTTTTATACAGACTGTCAGACACACGATAGCGGAATTTCACAATCTAATCGAAGTTTGGAGAGAGAGAGAGCGCACATTCCACAACTTTTCAGTCACTAAATTATCTGCGATCAACGAACTTCATACACGTTTGTATTGTTGTCTATGTTAATTTGCTTCGAGGATAATCACTGATAACGAGAAGATAAGAGCTTGAGTTTAATTTTCGTGGAAGCACGATGGATTTTGCGTTAACTAGTGTATTGTTACGAGTAGACCACTCAAGTACACACATGAATCGTGATGCGTAAGTAATGAGTAATAGCGTAATTTAGTTGTTTTTGTGTCTGATCATGAGTTAACTAATTCTTCAGAATCTTGCCATACATATTGTTTTTCTATGAATTGGTTCTCCAGTCTAATAATTACTTACCTGTATTAAACTACGGACCATGGTGATAAATTGGCAACGTAATACGACACGTAATTTGACGATAAGAATTATTGTCCGTTAATATCGCAATACAAGAATGATATATGTTTGTGTCGTTTATTTTTCGAGGAATAATTCTCACTTGGATCGTCTACCGATTTGCGAAGTCGTAATTTTTTTTTTCTGCAGCGATAGCACGTTCGCGATATAAGTACGTGAAATACCTGTTCGAAGCGAAAGTAGTTTTACGGCTGCGCACAAACTTGTCACGTTGTTGCTGCAACAGCACACGCGCACGACTGATAATCATACGATAGGCGGCGATTGCACAGTCTTGGAATTGTTTTCACCGAATATAATAACTATCCTTTATTTCGCTTATCTGAGTGCAAAGAGATATCGATTATCCCCTGTACGACAGAGCCTGATACGCGAGTGATCGCATAGACGATATATCACTCTTCAAGTTCAACGTCTCTTCTAACAATTCGCGATATGTTTCGCTTATGCGAATGGTTAGTTCAGTCACGAAAAATTCTGTCACTATCTGTCTCTATATTCGGCAAATTACAAATATCCGAATGTGCAATATTCTTTGTGTGATAAAGCGTAACCGATTGCCGTAAATTTGCTCGCTTGTTATGAAACAAAAACTCGATGTTTCCAAAGTTATAGTTTTATTTAAAAAAGGAAGAACTATACGCTACATACATATAATAAAGAATATTATAAAAATAGACGAAAATTATACGTGCATATATATATATAGATATAATCTAACAGATGGAATATCATCTCAATTGGACGGATCAAGTGCTATATAATATATACAGCTGTGATTTTTCACTAGATAGAATACAGAACAATGATCATTAATTTACAAGGTATAAAACAATATAAATGTTAAACTTGCAATAAACAATTGTGAGTTACTTAACAATCATATGAAAGCACATTATCTATTTGTTCAAATGAGATTCTTATCTACAAATATATTACATCATAATATCATTGATGCAAATATTTGAGATAGCTAAATAGTTTACATATTTGTAATGTTTCGCACAATATAAGATTAGATAAAACTTATTGTATTTAAACTCGCTAGAAAAATCTAAAATTATCTGATAAAAATTATTAAATTATTAATTAAAAGCTGATGTACTAACAAATGAACTTAGAAATTTTCAGTCGGCAGTGCTGAGATTCATCATTTGTTAGCTGACTAAAACATCAGCTACTCACATAATTATTGTTTATGTATCATGATTATATTTGTGCCTCTGCAGGTCAGAATTGTCATTGAAACCTCATTGCACCCAGTAATGAGATTAAAATTGTTGCAAGAAATATGCCATTGTATAATTTTGTTTCATTGGCAGCAGACTGAAGCAAACGATGAGACATTTGTTAACAGTATATATTTTTTTACTTTTCTTAAATTATGGATCAAGTCATACTTACTATAACATAATAATTACACCTGTCACCCTGACAACAATCTGAACACTTCCAGTCCTGATACCATATATGCGTGCAGTCAGGCATATTATTACGCTGTAGCCTTTCACATTCCTTTTTGGTAGAACATTTTTTAGAGACATAAAATTGTTTCTTTGCACCCTGTGACCAATATGGCGTACCTAAGAGAATAGATTAAATTTGTTAGTCATATGTATACACAGTTAAATTCAAAAATATGAAGTATAGAAAATTGAACGTAAAAACATTAATTACATGTAAGATTATAAATTAATGTGTCAAATTAACTTGGTTATCTTAAATAAAAAAAAAAATCATGCCATTGAAAACAAAGTACTCAAGTACTGAAATGCAGATATCAATGCTGATATGTATTAATTAAAGTAAATGTTTCTTTATCGATTCTACTTGAGAGGGAATATGAGAGTTGAGAGTTGCTTGTGTTAAAGTGGAGAACTGATAAGGAATATGCACTCAAATCTTACGCATGATACTACACATAACCTCAAACAAAGGGTAATGATATTGAAGTAAAATGCGCACTCACTTCCCCATTTGATTTCCGTGTAGCAGACGTCTTGATCTTGTTCGCAGGTTTTGATAGTATTTAGGCATTTGTCTTGATTACCCTCCTGATTTGTACAAACGTAACACTCCAGGGCGTGGCCTGCAGCGAAACATTTATCATACGCAAAGAATGAAGGCAGGGACGAGGGCGAAAAACAAGAGGGTTCTACGAAATTTAACTACTTACCGAATGATACGCAACAGATAACAAGCAGCACGATACGCCAGTTAAAGTCTGGCATTTTACCGCACGTGAGATAACGAGCAATTATTAACTTTGAACGCAATTGACAGTAGGGATGGGTGATATCACTTCGATTATTTTGACATCGATTGTTTTTATCTTACAAAATCGATTATCGTATGATGTTTTTTTATCTTGATTACTCACTAGACGATAGTTTTTTGTTCGATGTTACTAGAATCGTTGTACCTAACAGCGTACTGAGCTGATTTGAACTTTGGACTGACACAAACTGCTCTGAGAGTAATTAAGAGTCTACAAGATCCAGAATTATGAATCAATAGCAGTATTGATTAATAGCATGTATAAGAATGTACATGTATATGAACATAGAAGCGCTGTTTTGCATTTTTGTCGCTTGAGGCTCTCAGGATCAATACGGGATTTATCTTTAGTTGTTATAAATCTTTAAACTAGGCGTTTTTTGTGAACTTTTAGAATTGTATTTGATAATATTGATCAAATTACATATAATATATATTATATAACATAGTGTCACTGTTGTATATTTGCTTTTAGCGGAAATCTTCAAAAATAGAAATATCGTTGCAAAAATTAAAAGCAATTATGTTGGAGCTCTTCTGATGGAAGAAAATCTTCGAAGGTAGTGCCATCTAACGTACTTCGATGAGTGTTATCACCGACGAGATACTATAAAGACTGTTGGTCTTACGGAATTTAGCCTACCAGAGAAATCTCGCTGTGCATTAGCGCCCTCTTAGGAATATCGTGGCCGGAATATGAAACAAAGCTCGAAATAAGCATGGATGGTAACAGATATGAAATAATGAGAAAAAGATATCGGAAAGTATAAAAAAACTATCAATACGGAAAACCATATGCTCTTACCGATGCTCTCGTACTTGAGTCATCAAACAATACATGAAGACCCGAGAGAAAAAGATGTCTAAAAAGATGTCCAAAACATCAGGACGCCTCTTAGACTTCTATTTACGACAATACTGCTTTCCCCATTGTCGGTGCAATGTTATCACAGTTAATTAAATCCAGCCTCTATTGTTTGTGTTTTTGCGCAGTAAAGAAAAATATTTCCGAGCAATGTGTTTAATGGACGATTAGCAATCAGTAAGCCTGATTAAATCGAGAAATGTATAATCATCAATATCCACCGATCAGTTTGCTTGCTAAGCGCATTATATAATGTAAGAAAAATAGAATGTGAGAAAAATATATATATATATACAATATATACTTTTGACGTCACAATGCGCCCATCTGTTTCCACCGTTTCACTTATACATGTCGAATAAAATTCCTCGCGAATATCTTCGATCGTCTGAAAACGCACGTGCGCGCGTGCCAATATTACAAAAATTTCCGTTCTTGCCAAATAGTATCAATGAAGATAAAATGCGAGACCCATAATTCCCGTTTATCCGCATTGTTATCGCGCGTGAGTAAACGGAGGTAGCTGATGAAGAAGGCGGATGACCATCGTATTATGACGTGTAATATGTGAATAATGTCCGTCTCTCTCTTTCTCTTTCTTAGTTTTAGCTCCAGGCATCTAAGAAGACGAATTAGAGTTTGATGAAGTACCACTGTTCGGTTTGAAGGTTGGAATTACTCAATATTCGTCTAGTGAACCGAGTCGCGCAGTCGTTAACGTCCGATCGATCGCTCGCTCGCTCGCTCGATCGACCGCTTGTTCGATGGATCGCTCTCTCGTAATCGATGGAAATTCGAAGAACGCGCGCAAGGAGGTTAGAATCGGAGTTCTAGGTCATAATCAGGAAGAAATGCGCAACTGGGACTCTGCACGGTTTTCAAGGACGAGCGAGAGGACGATTGAGTCATTTTTCGCAACTGTACACCTGGCCCGAAGCACGTATGTTCTTTCTACTACGTAGAATTGTCAAAGTTTTCATCACTTGTTGGGCGAACGTCGCGGATGAACTCGTGAAAATCAATCGATGGTCAAACAATGATGAAGCTGGAGGAACGATCAGCTAAGTGGAATTCTAAATTTACATTTCTAAATTTACGCTTTTATGTTACACTCTAAATTTACAACATCGCGCATTACGGTGCTAAGATAACGCGCAATGAACGACGAGTGATTACCGCCGACGAGTCACAGCGCGCGTATTCGTCCGACAATTTTCTGGACGGTGACCCGGTCACATCGAGCAGCGTGGGCAGCGTGTCCTTTAATCGGGTGAACTTTTACGTGAGTACTTCCACAGTCCTGTGGGATGGCCCGCGGACATTCCGGGACACACGGCGCACGTACCTTCCCGCACGTGTCGCGTGCGCGAGCACGTGTGTGTCTGTCTGTCTCTCTGGTATGTGTGTGTGTGTGCGTGCGTGCGCGCACGCTCATGAGGACTCTCTGTGCATGGTCACGTTATTAAAAATAGCCCGAGGGTATTATTGACCCGCGCGTCACAACTTGGGTTACAGTCTTTCCAGCTGACCGGCTTAGGATCAAACTATAGCACGTCGTCGTTGTTGTCTCTCTAATAAGAGGCGTAAGTAATAAGGACGATGCTTGGACGAACGGACGATCCCGAGCTTACCGATTTTTACGTATCGCTCCAATGGCTTCTCCCAGCTTCTCCGGTTTCGGTGTCTTCCGCACCGACGAGGACCAACCGCGATCGATGCCTGTTGCCGAAAGATACTCGCCGGTGCGAATGAAAGCCGATGCGAATCACAGGCGCGAGATGGAAACGCACGCGGATCCGTGCATTATCGTCAAATGTAATAGCATTACTGCTCCGTTACTACCGTGGCACGCGATGGAAAGGCCTTTATTGAGATTCCGTGTCATCGATCTTGTTATCTTACCCGCCGTGCCGTTCGACGAAGTGTCTATTCCGACTGAACTTTGGAACGTCATATAATATAATTCACACACGCGCGGTGGTTCCTCCGGGAAGAAAAAATGCGCAATATCAGGCATTTGCGGGGATGGTGTGATCGGCGGATGCGAAATACACGCGTACGTCACGTTTATTTATAAATCTGTATTCAACACGGGGCTACGGTAGTAGGTACGGAGAAATTTTTACCGAGGTCGCCATCGAAATCAAACATTAAATTTTAAATACACAGCGACTGAATAAAATATCGGAGGACCGGAGCGCGGGGGTTCTACATGCTCGAATGAAATAATATGGACGAGGAGAAGGCGCTTTCTCTCTCTCTCTCTCTCTCTCTCTCTCTCTCTCTCTCTCTCTCTCTCTCACTGAAATATAAATATTCATAAAACATTTATTATTAACTCTCATGACATGTGTCTGTGTGTGTGTGAGAGAGAAAGAGAGAGAGAGAGAGAGAGAGAGAGAGAGAGAGAGAGAGAGAGAGAGAGAGAGAGAGAGAGAGAGAGAGAGAGAGAGAGAGAGAGAGAGAGAGAGAAGGTACGGGTTAGGTAAACTCTTTCAAGGATAAGGACATGGCCACCCTCGACCTCGGGATCGAGGCTTGGTCGGATCATAACGACCCGACCGCGGCACGTGCGATGTTAGCAAGGATACAGTGAAGGAAGCGCGTCTGACACCAGACGGTTATAACCACTGCACGCTGCCGCAACTCGCGACGCTGGCCGACGCAGCAGTGGCTGCGTCGTGTGTTTCCGTGAGCGAGTCGAAAAGGGCCGAGCGCTGTGCGAATCTGGAACGACCTGAAGTTGTCAGCGTACGTACGCTCTAATGGCGAGTAGGATCGGCCACAGAAGGGTTGATCTCCGCGTTTCGTATGCGAATATGTACGTCCCGGTGCTGTCTCTCACCAGGATCCAGCCGTCGTTCCAAGTAGGTAGGGCTGATAATGAGAGGGACAGAGAGAAACAGCGAGGTGGAGGGACACGCGCCAAAGTTGGGTCAGATGTAGGCGGGTGAAGGCAGAGGTCGAGCTTCCACCACCACCACCACCACCACCCTCTCGTAGCCGCGAGGCGAAGTCCGTAGGGAATTCTGCGAGCACGAAAGAACAAGGAAGGGGCATGATTCAGACACAGGGTTACAGGAAGGAAGGAAGGAAGACCGCAGGAGATATCGAGAGGGCGAGAAAGGAGAAAACATTGTACGTGCTTTTCCTGCTCCCATTCCTTTTCGCCATCCTCGTTCATCACGGTGCCGTGTGCAGCTCGCGGGTCTCGTGGCCGCCGTCGGATGTCGATATTCGAGTGCGCGGCGCAGGCTGAGCAGTAGCAGTGCCGAGCCACTGCGCCGAGAATCTAAAATTATCGGATAGCTCACGCGCGCGCGCGCGCGGCCTATACAGAGGAAAGAAAAAGAACAGAGGCTCGCGGTAGTCACGAGTGAAGGAAGACAGAGAGAGAGAGAGAGAGAGAGAGAGAGAGAGAGAGAGAGAGAGAGAGAGAGAGAGGCAAAAAGGCGACAGAGAGCGGCAATATAGAACGAGACGGACAGATCAACGGTACACGTTGTGACAGGTAATCCAGTGCAGGAACGGTAACATAGCCTTAGAAAAAGGAAGAGAAAGAAAATAAGTGTGGAAAAAGGAAAAGTAGGCGTTGGAGAGAGAGAAGACGCTTAATAGAAGGGAACGAGCAGGAGAGAGACAGCGCGACCAAGTAGTACAAGTAGTAGTAGTAACGGCTAGTACGAGCGTGGTGGGAAGCGCGAGAGAGCTCAGTCGAGCTTAACCGAAAGAGAGAGAGAGAGAGAGAGAGGGAGAGAGCGCGAGAAAAAGCGCGTTTCGCGAGAAGGAAGAGGAAGGAAACACACGAGACAGAGTCGAGCAGTCGATGCTGGGAGAGCGCGGTGTGCGCGCCGTGAAGTGAGGTAGATATCGCGCGTCGCTACCGCGCAGAAACAAGGACGGCAAGAGCGAGCGAGAAAGAGAGAGAGTGAGAGAGAGAGGTAGGCACAGAGGGGGCTAGACCAGCGGCGTGAAGTTGGAGCAAGACGCGTCGCTGGAGGAAGCGAAAGCGCAGCACCCGGCGGCGGGGATCGTCGAGAGGGAGAAACGAGCCGAGAGAGAAGGGTTGGTGGTGGAGGAGAGGAAAGCTATTATCTCTACAGGACAGGAATATACTATCTAGCACCTAGGCTCGCGTTGGACGTCGCAGAGTACGCCGGACGACGACGACTAGACCGAGAGGGTCGCGCGCGCGCCCAAGTCGACCGAGTGTGCAGGCGCCGCTGTGTGTTTGTCTTCGTCTCTCTCTCTCTCTCCCTCTCTCTTTCTCTCTCTCTCTCTCTCTCTCTCTCCCTCTCCCACTCTCTCATTCAGTCCCTCTCTCCTCTCCCACAGTTCCTCTCCGCCGTTCTCTCCCTCCCATCGGCCGTCAAGTGTCGCGCGCGCGAGACACACCGTCGTCGTCGGTCGGTGCGCCGTGTGACAGCTCTCGTGCGCGGTCTCTCCTCTGTGTTGACGTTCGATCGTCATACGCCGTACGTCGTTGTCCTCGCCGTCGACATCAAGCAGCTAACCTAACCGCGCGCGCGAGATCGAGTGCCGAGAGTAGTCGCGGCACCGCGCGCGGGCAGGCGGGCGGGCTTGACAGCTTCCGGGGAGGCCGGCGTCCCCGGCGACGAGCCGCGCGCTAGTGGCTCGGCATCCCACCGTCGAGCAGCAGCAGCAGTAGCAGCAGCAGCAGCAGCAACAGCAACATCGTCGACGAGACATCGTCGCCGATCGGTCATCATCATCGTCATCGGCGGCGGCGGCGGCGGCGGCGGCGGCACCATGGCGGACGATCAAGAGAACAACACGTGTGAGGACTCCCTCGGGCCGGGCGACACCAACACCGTCTTCGCCAAGAAGCTGCGCGGCCGGAAGGGCGCCCTCAAGAAGAAAAATGTCTACGTCGTCAAGAATCACAGCTTCATGCCGAGGTTCTTCAAGCAGCCCACCTTCTGCAGCCACTGCAAGGACTTCATATGGTGAGTGAGCGATATCGAATCTCTATTCTGTCACGATTGTCGTGTGCTGGGGCGACGCGCGAACCCGCACGCTCCCTGTTGCACTCGCGACGTCCGACCGCTTGCATCGAGGTGCATCGATTGGCGCTCTCTCGTTGAGACGGTCTTTCCCTTTCGTTATTATCCGAATCTAAGGCGGACGATCCGCTTCGGCGGATACGGGAGAGTCGTCGAGACGATCTTCGGCGCGCTACGTTGGAGCACGCCGTCGTTATTTTATTTAGTTGTAATTTCATAATAAGATAAGATATCATCAACACACACAACGCGTCGACGTTGCGTTGTCGATTCTGTGGCAGGGAACGCGTTACACACAAGTCAGCTAGTTTTTCTACTTTCAAGTTTTTACGCCGAACGTAGCAGGGGGGAAAAGAGTATACGCGGTCTATGCGCCGATATACGCCGCAACAGTTCGCGTTCGAAACCGGAGCTCCGAAACCGACGTCGCGTAACTGACCGCGTAACTAAACTACGCTAGAGCGCGCGCGCTCTTTCACTCTCGCGTATTCTATTCTATTTCGGCTTGGACCGTTAGCATCGCACGGTCGTTACTATGATTAGCCTCATTATTCGAGCGCGTTCAAGCCCGATAACTCGCGCGCGTCGGCGAATTCTGTCTCTGTCCGCTCCGGCATGCTCTTGCCTCCGCGTAAGCGTGTGCGTCGGGATGCGTTCCGGTAACGATCGAGTTTGCATCCCCGGGAGAATAGCAGGTGAACGCCTCGGGGTCCGAAGCTCTCACCACGAGGTGGCTTGCGTCGACGATCCTGCTCGGCTAACAAGGAATCCTCGGGAATACCCGTGTCCCCGTCGATTTTCACCAAAGTTTATTAGCGGATAACTTTGACGCGCGATCGCATCGATTTCGGATGACATTCGCGCGCGCTTCGTCGTCGTATCCGCCCCGAAGGTGCACTCGCTCCCCACTCGAGTATCGAGTTGCCTGTTAGAGTTGCGATTTTCTTTCTCCTTTTTTCTTCTTTTATTTAGATCTCGTTGGAGAACCAAAGTTGTTATTCTTTTCGGAATTTCTCAAAATCGAGGACGGAGAACCGACGAGTACTATCGATTTCCTATCGCTTTTCTGCGGCGTATTTTTTTCTTTATCTTTTTCCCAACAACTTTCTTATCTTCCACGTATGCAGAGAAATGGCACTTGGTGCTTAGCTTTTTTTTCTTTGCGTACGCGTGACAACTATATGTAGTCGACGGGTTTTATTATTTTCGCGTGTCGGTGATAATCCACGATCGTGAATTTCTAATGGATGAATAGGAACGACTTTAACTTCATTTATTTACTCCTCGTCGGTTTCGTCGTGCGTTTTTTAGATCGCGATTTTACGCTCATGATATATTACGTGTTACGAGAGGAAGAGTTGGAGAGAACGAGAGATAGATTCGTAATCTCCGTGGTGACATATGGAACGATACGTCGCCGAAAGTGCTCATCAACTCGACATCGTTGCGACCAGTCGGTTTTATTTTACTTTTTTTTTCTTCACATTATTTTCATTATCGCATACGTTGCACACGATTTTTTCGCGATGGTAATCTTGTGCGCGAAATTTTTTTCCGCAGAGCAAAATTGTCCTTAATTATCGAAAAAAAAGAAAAAAAAAAAGAAAAAAGAAATAAAACGCGACGAAGAATTCTCGCCGCTCTTTCCGCTCTCGCGCCTCTGCTCGTCCTCGTATCCCCGATAGCATATTAATGACAGAGTTTGGAATTAATTACAAGTGGGACCACACCAGCAACTTCTCTCGAAATCCAGTCGGACGATTTAATCGTCGCGCATGGAATCGTTTTACTCGTCCGGAACTTCGCCGACGTTTCGTACTCGACTTTTGCGGATGAATCGGTCGACGCTGCTTTAACGTCGCGATTCTGCTCTTCCTCCTCCTCCTCCTCCTCTCGCCTCTCGCGAGACGTCGTGGTGCTCACCGTTGGACAGATACATAAATCCAGTCAATAATGACTCTCGGCTGCTGGCTGGTCCAGTGGAACGACAGCCAGTGGTTAAACGATCCGGCCTTGACGTACGGCCGTTCCGTTCTTCTCGTCCCGTCCGAATTAGAAATCGCGGCGATGCGAGAAGCGGCGGGCGCCGCGGGCTCGGACGTCTTTTCCGAGAGTCGCGTCAACTTCCCACAAAATGCTTTTCACCTGACCGGAACATCGACGCGCGCGGTTTTTCCCTTTTCGAGCTTACGCAACTTGCAATTTGAGCAGCGCAATCGCGAAGCTTGTGTCTACTCGAAATTGCTACGTACAGAGTGTCCCGGGCAGCGCGATCTCAGAGCTCTCTTATTTCAAACAAATCCTGTCCTGCGATGTACAAATCTCATCCTTGGATTCGTAAAATGACGTCTGTTTGTTTTTCGGTTGAAGATACGTGCGGCATACGCTGATGCCGGTGACATTGTAACAGACAGAAGAGGAGTACCCTCCGGATACTCGCAGCGTAACGGCGCTTTGAAAAGAGAACAATGCCGCGATGCGTCGACCTTTAATTTGGAGATAGGAGAATATGAAAGTCCGCGTATTTCTAGTGCGCGTAAAATCGATATATTTACATGCGACTTCATATCACGCGTAAAATCGATATATTTGCATACGACTTCATATCACGCATCGTCGTTGTTTCCGTCGATCATGTGGAAACATACGTAGGCAATCTGAAAAGTTCTCGACCTGACACATAACATGGCATTAGAAACTGTCAAGCTATAATTGTATTGGAAAGTGGCATCCCTGATATAAACCCATGTAAAATTTTATTCGATCTGTCGAGTCATTCGAGTGCGTATTTCTCAAACGTGTTTGGCATATTTTAATCGTTTTAAGCAAAATTCGTAAAATGGATTTTAAGCGTCGTTTCATAACTGTCGATGAAACTTGAATCCATCACTATACACCAGAGCGAAAAGAACCTTCCGGAATCACACTTTAATGATGGTATTGAATTATTGGAAAGACGTTGAAATAAATGTACTGAAGTTTCAGAAGATTATATTGAAAAATAAAACATATTTCACGGCAAAAAAAATTTTCTTTCATCGTTAGGCCGAGAACTTTTCAGACTGCCCTCGTATTTCGATAAAAATGATATATTTTTACATAAAATGCTGAATTTCCAGTCTGCATGAGCAACGATTGCTTGAATCGAACCTTTTGCTCTTGCGGCGTGTCGGCGCGCTCCCAGATCCGGAATATCTTTCACCCTGTTGTACCCTGTCTCGTTTGACACGAACGTATGTCTCGCGGTCGATCGTAACAGTTTTGGAGAGGCTGTGGCGGATTAATTTCAATCACGATTAACTCGAACCACTGGTTGCGCGTTCACCAAATTCACGAAACGATATTTCCTCTTGTTTCGTTTGATGGTGAAGGGGCTCGCTGTCCAAAACGGCTGCGAGCTCTACTATCGATCCGGAGGTCCTTTCGACTCGACCGCACGTGGAAAAAGCGCGTCGCGGAACAAATATTCGCGGCGACGCAAACGTCCGGCACGATTCGCGATCGTCGATGCGTCAGTCGATCGTCCACGTGCGTGTCCGTGCGACTGACAACCTTGATAAACAGTGATATGCGTTATCGCCACGTGCATCGCCATTACTTTCCGCGTTACAAAATGCATTTTGCGAGAACGCGGCGCGTCCCGGGCCGCCCTCGCCGTATACTTGCACCCCTGCGTGCGGATTCTTCGACTGGTCTGCACTTCCGCTCGTTCGCACATCGGCTGCGCCGTATCGTCGGCGGTTAGAGAAGCACGTTGTTAGTGTTGAAGCTGAAATATATAATGCAAATATTAATATCGATAGAGAGAGAGAGAGAGAGAGAGAGAGAGAGGCACGAGTTTCTCTTAATTAGAGTTTTCCAGCATTCCTACAGTCCTATCTTTTTTAACGATTCGTTATCGGCGAGCCAGAGTTCTCTCTAGAGAATACCTGACCCCTGATGCCTTATGCAATATTCATATCGTGATTTCTAAAGCGTGAAACTTAGGCACGAATCGTCGCGACTGAAATCGTCGTGACGCAGATCGATCGAAATCGGTCAAATGTTTATAAAACTTATACATCTGGTATCGGCGTGTTTATGCGAAGCGGTGGTTTCCGCTACGCGAGACAAGTCATTTACGATTAGCCGCATTATAATGAAGCTGGTAATAATGAAGTTTGCGATATCGCACGTATACGTAGCACGACTACGTGGCAGGAATTAATTCTTTGTCAGCGTTGCGCAACGTTTCGCTAACGAAGCTACGGTATTGGTGAGAAACGGGCCGTGCTCAAGGAAGACGACTCGCGCGCGCGGGCGGGATGAAGTATTACGTAAAACAGAAAAGGAAGGGAAAGGAGAGAGGAAGGAAAAAAGAGGATGGCGGATTAATAGAACCAGTCGGCGACCAGATTTATGCCGGCGACCTTCCTTCGCGTTCGGGCTCTCGCGTCTTTCGGCCGATCCTATCTCCCGGGGCTCGCGAATCTTATTATCCCGACACCAATTGACGCAAGAATAACCAATCTCACACTCACTCACGTGGGAATAAAAAAAAGGAATGTCTCATTTGGTCTCTTTCGCTGGAAATTACTGCGGCCTGCGTGTACAAGAAGCAAATTCACTTTCCGCAGGTTGCTCAAATTGTTAGTTGGAACAGCTGCAAAATTGCATTATAAAATACCTCATTTTTATTATTTTTTCCGCGCACCGCGTCGGTGAGGGTGCGTTATTTCGTTCATTCGTTCAGCTTCGAAGCGTGAAGTGACATTGGTTGCGTTAGCTTCTCCGGCTACTGATTTAATTGCACGGATGCGAATGAGCGCGGGAGGGGCGCTGTATTTCACGGATTTCCTGCGGTTTCACGCGCGCGCGCGGCTTACATGCGTGTCGACGTGCATCGCGACGGTCGCTTTTCAGGCCGCTTATCAAGCACGCGTGCGGTTTTCGCCGAGGTCGCT